ATGGTATAAACACAGTGTTTCTCTTGCTGATAAAATAAGAAAGGAATATCCTTCATCAACTGAAAAATATTTATCTAATCAAAAAAGTGTGAAAAATATGGAGTGGTTGTGTAGAACATGCCATAATTATTTAGTAAAGAATAAAGTTACCCCTTCTGCTGTTTTGAATGGAATGCAATTTGCAACGAAACTAGACTTTTTTGGCTTGAATGAATCGGAAAGCAGACTTTTAGCTCCAAGACTTGCTCTTTTAAAATTAATGCAGGTACCAAGAGGTAGACAATTCAAAATACATGGAAATGTTGTAAATGTACCAGCAGAAGTGTCTGAGACTGTGAATATGTTACCAAGGTTACCATCAGAAACAGGTACAATTAAGGTTAAATTTAAAAAGAAGATTGCAATACAAAAGTTCAGCATTATCCCTTAACATAAGACCTCATAAAGTTGTCCAAGCAGCAAACTGGCTTGTCACTAACAGTACCCTGTATAGACAAGAAGAAATAACAGTTAACAAGCCTGGGGAGAAGAATGCACATCAAACTTTCTATTTGATGACAGAAATATTGAAAATGAAACTGAAGAACCACAAATTATTCACAACAGTACTAGTAATACCACAAATAATACATGTACTTCCTCTAGTGAAGTTATTGAGACTGAAGATCAGTGGAGTGAGGATGAAGCAGAAATACCTGCTGGAGTTACTGACACTATGTTAACTAACACAGATTTTGTTGAAGACAATGGGAGTCAATGTATTCTAAGTGTTGCACCAGGTGAAGGAAAGAAACCATTAAGCATATTTCAAGATCAGTATTCTGAAGAATTAGCATATCTTGGTATATTCCTTGGTCAAAAACGACCGGAAATAATGATAGACTTGTTAATGTTCACTACAGTGACATTTGTAAATCTGAATTACGACGATCAGATAGAAGAGCTGCAATGTGTGTTGAAAACATATTCTTCAAGCAAAGAAACTGCAAATGAAAATATTACTAGGAAAATCACAAGTTGTTCTTAGAAAGTGCAAAGGAAATAGCAGAACTTTAAATGCAGCACAACTCAAACAAGAAGGGGCAATAGAAAATTTGATTCATCATGATGAAGGATTTCAGTTCCTCAAGGCATTAAGAGGCTCTCCACCTTATTTCGAAAAAGCAAAAAAGGACTTGTTTGCCATGATAAGACAGTTAGGACCAGCATCATTATTTTGTAGTTTCTCTTCAGCAGAAACTCAGTGGATCCATTTGCTTAGAATACTTGGTGAATTAGTTGACCACAAACAGTACACAGATACTGATTTAGGAAATATGAATTGGAATGAAAAATGCAGGTTAATTCAAAGTGAGCCAGTAACATGTGCAAGGCATTTTGATTATCAAGTTAGTCAGTTTCTGACTAACTTTCTCTTAAAGGGCATGTAAACCCAAAAATACATGTTTTTCTTATACTATGTAAAAAGTGGCGTAGAAAACGAATTTGAAATTCGTTTTGTCCAATTCGACTTATTTTAGGAGAAAATCGGCATTTTCAACTGAAATTCCATTTCCGGTAAAAACAATAGCGAGAAGTCGTGACGTAAGCGGTGGAACCAAAATATTGCGCAACACATATTCCCCAGTAGAACTGGTCTGGGAGTTCGTGTAAGTAGCGGTAGTTTGGAAGATATTTTTTCAGAAGATAGCGACTCGAATGCCTTAAGCTTAGTACATGACAGCGATGGGGATAATCCAGAATCTTCAGGAGAGTCTGGGCCACGTTCTTAACAATATGAGCCGCGTAGGGTTCACCGAAGCGATCCGCACTAAGACAGTACAGAACATGTCGACAGCGATGCGACCGTCTCGGAAACTCAGACTGGTATTTAATCTACTGTGTGATTTATTTGTATTTGACATGAAAATCCAATAAAGCGAGGATACAATCTAAAAGAATGCAACAGAAATTTTTTAAACTTGAGCTTCTGAGAGTGTTTTATATAAAATTATCAAAGGTTCGAGTGTGGAACTTGTCAACCAATGCCGACAACTCATGAAAGTGGTTGTTGTGCGGAAATCGGGCAATTGTGGCAAAAAGTAGAGTAGCAAGGGCCTGAAACCCAGATAAGTTGTATCACTGAGCATCCAGGTTTTCAGTCAATTTGTCTTGATTTCTGGGTGCTGGAGACGGCCAATTGCGCGTACAGGCAGCAGCAAGGCACAGATAATCACACCGGAAACGAGTAAGCTAAATGTTTTCTGTTTCATCTGTTTTGTTACATTTTGAGATCGATTTGCTTGGGTTGTTTTTGCCATTGACTTAATAATACAGTACTAGAGCTAGTTGTTTTTCGCTTCTTTCCTGGCAGGAAATTTCGCTAAATTGCCTACAGATAGCTTGTTCGTTGGTGTTGGGAATATCTCGGCAAACACTTCAGGGTCGCTGTGCCATCCTGTGCGTTAAACAATATCCGAAACATTTTTCCAGCGAATTTTGGATCGCCTTACACTGGATTAAAACCGGCAAACCTTTGAGAGAAACAAAGGTATATGTTAATGCATATCTTAGTTATTTATGTCTTACAGCACTGGAGGTTATGCCCGTTCTTTATGAGATATTTATGTATTGCTTTCCTTCATCTCCGAAGCATTTCCATCGATAAACAAGTTGTACCATATACATTTCCTTGTGAGGCCTTCATAATTATCCAACTCTGTTTTTGTTTGCTTCGATTTGAAATACTGAAAAGATAGTTTTGCAAGCTGAAATCAGGATCTTTTAAGTTGTACTCAAAATGATGAATATTGTCCTTCTGACCTTTGAATGTATTTTCACTGCTGTGAAAATCGTGACACAAATTCTTCTGCTGTTTCTCTGCAGGGTTTCTCAAAGGAAGCACCAAGTGGGGCTGGCATGGATTTTGTTATAGAAAATAAGGGTTGATTATGGGATCCTGTATAGAATTCTTTGCATCGAACCAACAAAATCCCAGATCACGTTATTACACACTGACATCAACGAATTCTCTTTCTTTGATACGTGTTTCGAATTCAGGCAAAGGATCAGAGGAGTCAGTGTCTTTTATGGGCTCAGCGCTGGCTCCCGAACAACTGGCTTCCCCATAATCTTTCATTAGATGAGAAAAAAGATGTTTTTAGAGAACCAATAAAGCTATCGTTGTTTAATCAACGAAACGTTTTCATGTAAATCAATTTTGTACTGTCTCCGTTGACCTCTAACTTTTAAAGAGCTCAACTTCTTTCTCAGTTCGGTCGGCCACTTCCGAATCCTCGTCGTCTACCGACTGTATGGGTCGTTTTTATACTTCCGAATAATTTGCTTCTAGTAAGGCCTGAATCTTCGGTACAGCACCAGGAAGAAAAATGACTGCTACAAACAATTTGTGAAATTTGACCTTGTACAAATTTCACAAATTGTCGCTTCAAATTTGCGTCATTTGGAAATATTTGCATTGTATGCCCAGTTTTGTTTAAATCAGTACAAAACTGGACGACACAACGCTTTACCATTACGAAAAAATTGAATATATTGAAGCAAACTGTAAGTAAAAAAAATAACGAGACCGGCTCTTTGCCATTACGAATTTGCCTTTACCATTACGAAAGAATTGAATATATTGAAGCAACTGTACTTGATATATTTACTAAACATCTATGTGAAAAGAAAATGAACGTTTTTTGGGTTTACATGCTCTTTAAAAGGAGCCCAACCTCTGGGCAAAATATCTGACTGGTTCTATAGAGTGGAATACCAGCAGCGAGGCTCACCTCACATCCACATGCTTATATGGCTAGACAGTGCACCAGTATTTGGAGTTGATGATGATGCTATTGTTACAGACTTCATTGATCAGATCATTAGTTGTAAATGGCCAGTTGATTATCTACAACTGCAGAAATTGGTGAACCAGCAAATGAAATGAAACAACACAAAGAAAATTGGAAAACTATCCAGAAACAATTGAATGATTTAAAAGAAGGTGAATTAGTTACCTTTAATGAGCTGCTTGTCAAGTTAGGTGTCACTGAAAATAACTATAGATTGCCTATCAGGTCAACTTTAAATTCTCCATCTATCTTTTTGAAAAGAGAACCAAATGAGTTAAGAATTAACAATTACAACCCAGCTTGCCTTAAGGCATGGAGAGCAAATATGGATATTCAATTTGTTCTTGATGTGTATGCATGTGCTATGTATATAGTGTCTTATATTTCTAAAGCTCAAAAAGGAATGAGTGAACTTTTGCGACAAGCATCTGCTGAAGCTAGGAAAGGAAATTCTAACATCAAACAACAAGTCAGAGATATCGGAAACAAATTTTTGAACAGTGTTGAGATAAGTGCACAAGAAGCTGTTTACATTGTTCTACAGCTTCCTATGAAGAAATCATCGCGCCAAGTGATATTTATAAATACTGCGCCTCCTAATAAAAGAGTACAGCTTCTTAAGCCTATTAATGACATTTTAGAAATGGAAGATGATTGTGAAGAAGTATACACAGGTGGTCTTTTGCAAAGATATGCAATTGAAAATTTTAGGCCCAGATGGGTGCATTTGAGGCTACTTTTGCACACTTTCTGTTCTTATATTGGCTGATATAATATGGCATTTGTTACTATGAAACGTGTAACTTGTAGTACGGATTACATACCAAAATGCTTAAGAAATAAATGACAACTTTGGCTTTTTCACAATTTTAATATTTATTTTCAAAGTTGTAAAGTTCACATGGTATAAATCTATAATACTCCTATGTAAAACACATACCTTTCAGCTTCAATAATCCATAATGTATCTTTCTGCAGTCAGGATGCTCTTCATATGTCAAGAACTGGTGTTTTCTTGTTTTCAATTCACAAGTAAAAACATTTTCCTTGATAATTTATTTCTTCTTTAAAAATAATCATTTTTTGGCTCAGAAATGCATTCATTTATGGTGTGATTAACCTAAGACAACTCAGAGCAATGAATTATCTATACTTGATACTTTATAGCTAATCAGAGAAATAGTCTGATTCATAGTCAGAATCTTCCATGTTGTGGCTTTTCTCATCGCATTCAAGCTGGAGAGCAGCAACATACGCGTCGACATTTGGCTCACTCTTGATGCTTTGTGAATCATCAACTTCCACGGAGGATGGTACATCTAGATCATGTGGAATGGCTTCATCGAGTGTTGGTGGATGGTATGGGACTGCTTCTGCCAAGGAAGATGAGGCCACAGTAGCTGAGATGGGAGGAAGCTTTTTAAGCTTCCTTCTATCCTTTTCTTTCAGCCACTCTGCAACCACATCACGGATTAAGGATGGCAACTCCTTTGACTGTTGTTTGGGCCCATTGATAGAAATGTGCAACAAGGGGTTTAGCAAATCATTTTTGATTCTTGACCGCAACCTGTTCTTCTGCCATTTCAGGACACTGGCTCCCCTCTCAGGCCAAGCATTACTGTCTGGGCAACTTAGACAAACTTCAGCCATGAATGACAGCATGGGATAGTGAGATCTATAGGGTGGCTGCATCAGCTTGGATAGGCACCAATCAGTAGCTGTAATTGAACCTTCCCCCTGACGAATAGCTTGTGGCAGATCATTTTCCTTCCACTGCAGTAGGTCATATTTTGCCTTTTGCCATTCCACAATAAGCTGTTGGTGATCTTCTGCATGCTGAGGCCCTGGGAAGTAATGGTCGGCCAACTTCTTAATCATGCTGGAGCCATATTCACTTTAAGAAAAAGAAATTGTAAAACAGTAAATGAAAAAGCATAAACCAGACAGTGGTCTAATTTGTTTAATGTTAAAACCATGATATCAAAGTACCCAAAGTAGACAATACCTGAAGCCATCGTCGGTTTTTGTAGGAACAGAAAGTAAATCAAATATCTTGAAGGAATCAAGTACGGGAGAGGACTCCTGGAACCGTGCATCAATGTTTTCAGTCAGGGCACCAACATACTTCTTCAAAAAGCTTTTGAGTTGAGTTTCTTGGTGGGATGTTGGCAGTGACTGGTCTGGCTGGTCTCTTGCTCTTAAGTCCTTCAAAACAAGTTGGAGTCGTCCTTCAGGTTGCAAGTCCTGTATGAAGAATGACAGAAAATCTGATAATGTAATTGTTTTTTTTATTCTCGTAGCATAATTGATATTTAACTATACGTCGGTAACTGTTATGATAACTAAGAAATATACAGGTTTTCACCCTGATTTTCACTAGAACAACTTGACAACTTATAAAACTACATTGATAATACATACATTACAGTTACAATAAAACATGTAGATAAAGTGTACCTGTTTTAGCACTGCGATAGGTGTCTCGTTGGTAGCAATTTGCTTGAGTTGTTCCTTGGCATACTGAAGTGTAGGAACAATCTTGGCAAATGAAACTACACCAGCTTGTCCTTTTTTACCTATGAATTTCACGGTCTTCATCTGGGATAGTAGACCAATGGCAGTTGCATCATTTCGGAACTCGTCAGCACTGAGCGTTAAAAGAATTGCAGTGTAGTCCTACCAAACCCCCTGCACCGCTTTGTCTGTGGACAGCCACCGTGTTCTGCAAGCCCGTTGGAGTTTGTGACCAATTTTGTGTCGTTTAGACTCGTCAGCGGGAAGCTGCATGTCTCGAAGTCTTAATTGCATCTTAAGATACGCTGCCGTCTTCACACAGGAGTTTTCGAGCCACTTGTACAGCTGAACCAGTAGGCGTTCTATGGTTAGCATGTACTCCACCTCGTTGTTGGAGTCCCCACAAGCTAATGCCAGTCTGTGGCAGATACAGTGAACGTTGACCAGTCTTGGGTTCTCCCTTTTGAGCAGTGCTGCTACGCCATTATTCTTGCCAACCATTACTGAAGCTCCATCAGACGCCAAACTCAGGAATTTTTGAACGTCAAGGTCATCCTTAGCCAGTTCTTCTTTAATGTTGTCAGTGATGGTTTTGGCGTTCGGTGACACAGCATCCTCCATAAGATCTTTGACAGCTAAAAAGCGGATTTGCACATTTGCATTTTCCACATACTGGATGAAAATGATGTTTTGTTCTTTCACTTGAATGTCAGTAACATCGTCCACCATGAGGCCATAACACTTCGCTTCGTTAGCAGCTTTTGTGATCTTTTCCTTTATTACCCTGCCCATCGTCGTGAGGATTCCTCTTACTGACCACAATGATTCATGTTGGAAATGCTCCAGCTTTTCCAGTCCTATCGTCCGCATCATCTTCAACATGGAGGGGAAGTTTCGGTAGGCAATGCCATGCTGAACCAGCCAGTACAATGACATGAAAGCGCTATACAGAATTTCATGCCTGTGGAGGTTACGCTCGTCAAGTTTTTCTTGAAAAATCGAGGTCCTCTTTAACATTTCTGCTGCAATGGAATCTTGATGTTTTTGTCCACTGCAGTGCTCCACAAGTGCTGAGGTCTGGAACAACACCATGAGAAACCGCGACGGAAATACGCATTTTTTTTTCTCGCGAGGCTTCCAGGTTTTGTAACACTATATTTTTGACACATTTACTCACGAATGGAGGTTATTCGATACCCCGATGACGAACTTTGGGAGTGCAGATAAATGCGTTTGTTTTGTTTCATAACGTCTCAAGTCACGAACTCCAAATTAGCTGCACGTGCACAAAATTTATCACAAAGAAACATACCCAAAAGCAGAGAAATAATACAAAATTTTATTTATTTTACCGTAATTTACGTTCAAATTTAAAACTGTCGGCTGACCATAGTCTCCACAGGAGTTTTAGTACAAACTGAGCGTGAAAATAGCCGGGACAAAAATTAAAATAGCCGAGTAAAGGTCCCGGTGTCCCGGCCCTAACAAAAACACTGTGAGGCTGTGGGTGATAAAGATCTACACCCAGATTTTAATGAAAACTATGATTTATCAGATGATGTTGGAATTCCTTTTCCTGTATCAAGTAGTGAACCACTTATACTTAATGATCAAGATCAAGAGTACAGGCAGTTGATTCAAACACTAAACAAGAAGCAAAAGGAATTTTTTTATCACATTTTGCATCTTATTAAAACATCTGACAAACCATTCTACTATTTTCTCTCTGGGGGGAGCTGGAGTGGGCAAGTCCCATCTTATCAGAGCTCTATATCAAGCAGCAGTAAAACAATTCCAGAGCAGGCGAAAACATTAATGAAGTTAAAATATTATTGCTTGCCCCTACTGGAAAAGCTGCTTATGGTATCAAAGGGAACACAGTACATAGTGCCTTGGCAATACCAGCATGCCAGTCTCTAAAGACATATAAACCTCTTGACTCAAGCAGACTAAATACCCTCAGATGTAAACTTCGTGCTGTTCAGCTTATATTTCTTGATGAAATATCAATGATAGGCAATACTATGTTAAATGTCCAAATAAATAACAGACTTAAGGATATCAAGGGTAGCAAAGAGGTATTTGGAGGTATTACCATAATTGCATTGGGTGATTTGTTTCAACTAGAACCTGTTATGGACAGTTATGTGTTCAAAGATATGAAGAACTCAGATTATGGATCTCTTGCCCCCAATTTATGGCAAGACTACTCAAACATGGATGTAAATGTGTTCTCAGAAACACAGTTATGTTACTTAGACAGTGATACTGACTACAGCATCACTTGGTATACCCTATTTAGAAATGACAGTCAACTTGACGTTTTCAATACAAGACCTTATGGTGGAACCGCAGTGTACAGTAAAATTCCTTTTCTACCTGGGTATCCAGTTTGCAACAACACTGGTGGTGTTGAAATAACTATCATTAGGGTTACAACAGTTCCACATATTACCATAATAGGCATATATCGGTCACCAAGAGTGCCAATTAGACAAATGTGTGCAGCATTGATCGGACTTCTTACCCTTGATATTTCAGGTTTCAAAGTTTTCATTGGCGATTTCAATATCAATTGGTTAAATGAAAAAGATAAGATTCCTCTTTATAATCTGTTTATAAGAGATCACAGTTACAGACAACTGGTATCATGTTCTACTACTGATAACAGGACCACTATAGACCATGTCTACACTAATTTACCTGAATCACAAATCCATGTACACATTTTAGAAACTTATTTTTCTGATTACAAAGCAATCTATGCATTGATTCAAAAATAGACCTTTGTGGTTTTCTTGTCACCTTCACTGTAACTTCCATGTGTTTTTCTTTTTGTCTTAAAGAGAATATTCATAGTTAATGAGTACAAAAAAATGAAATTAACTCAAATGTACACCTTAGATACCAATCATGCATTGTGATTGACATCTAAGGGGTAATCTACAGATATGTGATATGCAACACATATCCAGGTATGTTTATTTTATGATTATTGCTTTTGTGCCCTGTAGTACATACAGATTGCAGTTTTCTTTGATACCTGTTTTACAACTCACAGTTACTGATAGCATTTATTTCTCTTCGCTCTTCAGGTAGACACACCTCAGTTGTAATAGGACTTGAACGACAATGGACAACCTAACATGCTTATTCAAACAGAAGCGACCAAAGTACGTGGAGTCTGTTTCTCTTCAAGCAAGCATCTCGACTTTGAAAGATGCAGCAAACAAAAGTCCTCAGTGAAGATTAGCAACTTCACTATTAAAAATGACAGTGTTCTCATGAATGCAAGAGTCCAAATAAAGGAACTGAAGAAGATCACTTTTCTACGAGAAGAGATTCCCTCGACTCTGAACATCTCAATGCTCTTGAATGTTACCAATAACCAACTTATTAATCTCAAAGCCAAAGTGGTCCACTTATCTGGAGTGAAGAAAATAATCGCAAGAGATGGTACGAAGTCGAAAGCTGATTGTTGCCTCCTAGATCCATTTGGATCAATCAAACTAACCCTGTGGGAGGACCTGATTACAGAAGTTGCAGACGACAACACATATAACTTCTGTAACCTTAAAGTGACGAAGGATAATGACAACTACTCCATTTACCTTACTACACCAAAGCATGACTGTTCCATTTCACCAGCTGATCCCTTCCAAGAGGAAGTAGCTTCACCAGGTGATTTGCCAGACTACTTCACCCAAACATCAACAAATGCTGAAGTCCTTGGTGTTCATGTGCTATCGCCAATGCTGCAAGTGTAACAAAAAGCTTCCAGCAACACCAGGGAATGTAGTAAAGTGTGAAACATGTGGCCTCAGGCAGAAAGTGTCTGCTTGCAGCAGTCAGTACCACTTGCAGGCATTGCTGAGACATGATGACATTAACACCACTGTAACATTTTTTAATGATACTTTGCTCAGTGCCTTACAGTTGTTTAAAGTTGACACTAAGCAGTCATTAAGTGAAGATATTGTTGTTGAAGCATTCCTAAATACACCAATGCTCTTTGTTACCTTTGATAAGAAAACTAAAGTTGTGGCTGCAGTCAGTGTTGCAGAGAACTAAACTGCAGCAAGAACCAAAATAATGGTAAAAATCAGAATGCATCCACTCTATATTACCATTTAACAGGATACCAAAGCCATTGTTGTATCTTTCACTAAAGACAAAATGTTCATGTTATTATCACTGGGACAATGTTCTGTTATAGCATTCCCCTTCTCCCAAGTGACTTTTTGTATTTAAAAGTATTTAGATATTATATATTTTATGGAGTTTGCACATTCAATTGAAAACTGTAACTGAAGTACATTTATGAACAGTCTCTTTAATGCTTATACATTGAGAAGAGAAAGTTTCAACAGGAACTTGAGGCTTTTAATGCAGATTACTGATGTTACCACTTATAATTTTCAATTACAACAGTAACCCGTCTCAGTTGAAACCTTCAGTAATTATCAAGTAGTAGAGCTGTTCTCATTTCTTCATACTCTCCTGTTGTTAAACTTTCTATTTCTTTTTTTATATTACAGTTATATGTTCATTAAATTTTCTGATGTAAAAGAAAAAAATCACAATTCCTAACTTGAATCATGTTTTGTTCTTACTTATTGTATCAAATACATACAGTTGTGGTTCCTTTTGTAATGCAGGCTGTTTTTTACAATAAACTTGTTCATCCCTGATGTCTATGTTCCAGTCTCTGTATTCCAGATTTTAGCCACCTAACCTTGCAGCTAAAATTATTTTAATCAATTCTTGTTCAAATTGTTGAATTGAACTTGCAACCAAACCTACACAAAACAAGACCCAACGGAAGTACCGCTAAAACCCAGCATTAGACACACGTACGCATTGCGGACCAATTTTTTCAACTGAGTGCAAAAATGATATATCTACAATCTATTTGTGGCTCATTTTCCATGGAAAAATTTGTCAGCAAAATCCTCCAACCTTTCTTCATTACCTTTATGTGGAATAATGTATAGTGTCAGATTTGTCTCACTTTTGTACTGATGCCAAACGCAATCAAATTCAGCAAGCTTGTCACAGATAATAGTATTATATTAGGGTCAGTATCGTAATTTACTGTTTACTTCTGATTGGTACAGCATCAGTTCGGAAAATCCGAGGGTCTCTGGCTTGATTCTTTGTAGTGGGATACAGATTCTTTCCATTTTTTAAACAAGTGACAAAAATAAGTGACATAATTCTTTCATATTGGACTTCCGGCGAACTAGAAGAAAAAAACCTTGTCATTCCCGAGAAATCTCTTGCGAATAAAAAGGCAAAAAATACTCGTATTTTCTCAGCTTTCTGGCTTTTTTGAGAAATTATCTTTTTCAGTCTCAGAAAACTGAACAACATAGCAATTTTCGTATTATTAGTGCGCTATCAGCAGGCTTTCTGTATGTGGCATTGTTTCAGAACGCGCGGACTTCGCTTTAGTTCTTGTCGTAACTTTATTCAGGTACATATTCCACAATATGAAGGTTAAATGAGCAAAGGGGGTAAATTTCTAAAGAAATCATGGTGCTGTGTGGGAGAGTGTAACAGGATAATTTAGTATTGTCTACTGAGTTGACACTGAACGTAAATTGGTCACCATAAAGAGTTTTAAAACTGACGTTTCGAGTGTCAGCCCTTCTTCAGAGCGAAATTTTCGCAATTGGCAAGATTCTTGCAAATTTTTTTACACTTTAGATTGCACCCTTTTAACGCAACTTGTCGGCAGATTTATATATTATACAAACAATGTGCTCTAATGTGACCCGGCTCCTAAACCTTTGACTAATCAAAGTGCTCTGTGAGCAAACTCGTGAATTGACACATGATTTTTACTGGGATACCTGTGGTAGCCCAGTCATAAAATGCCTTTGTTTTTTTGTCGTCTTTTTTACTGGGATACCTGTGGTAACCCAGTCATAAAATGCCTTTGTTTTTTTGTCTTTTTTTTTTTTTTACTGGGATACCTGTGGTAGCCCAGTCTTAAAATGCCTTTGTTTTTTTGTCGTCTTTTTTTTTTTTTTTTTTTTTTTCCTCCGCCACAAAATGGAAAAATTGCGCAATAGTACCCAGAGGTCATTGGGCCCTCAACACCATGACAACTAACTGTGATCCAACAACTAACTGTGATCCAATGAGGTGTTCACATACTGATCACGCGTGTTATCCCTCGACACCATGACAACTAACTGTGATCCTGTGATCCAATGAGGTGTTCACATGCTGATCACGCGTGTTATCTTGATGATGATTGACGTTGTCATACACGGACAGGGCCGGGTCACATGACAAATCACGTGATTTTTGCTAATAAAACTCTTTGGTCAGTTGTTTTGTATTTCAACGTATTTGGATTGCGATCTCCTGGAGCATTATGGCGCAAACGCGCAAAATACTTACAGACGCATATACAAGTCGTATTAATCGCGGCTAATCCACTCTGAAAGATGTTATTGAGCGGTAATTTTGGAACGGATTGAGTCGCGAACGCTTGAAAGCCATGAAAGCCTTGAATGCCTTGTATGCTAAGTATGCCAATGTCTTAGTTGAAAACCGTTCACTTGTTGTAAAAAGCAAAATCTGAAACCAAACTGCATATACTCTATGCAATCTATTAAACAACGCTTCTACCGTGAGACTGAAGAACATAACTATATGGGATGCAAACTGCTTGTGAAGAAGGACGACATGTTGGATTCACTTGATGGCAAGGAACGTAGCTACGATAACAGTACGAATGGTATTAATTTCACGATCAGAAAGGTGAATCTTATGTTTGTTTTCATTGTAGTTGTATGGATATTCTTTTTTAATAAATACGTGATCCAAAACCCTGTGTTTTTTTGTGTATAATGTTGTTATGTTAAATATTGTTTACGCAATTGTCTTGTCACAAGCGGCCCAAGCTCACGTCTCGAGAAAAAGCCAACGATTAATTCATGAACGCGTCACGCGTTGTGTGACTCGGTGTTAAGTTACGGGAGGAACTGCACGTTATAAGGAATAGTACAGGGAACGAAGTATGGTCGATTTACAACGATACATATTTCGAAATATGAACATTTTTCTCGTAAAATCAATAAAACTTACTCATACCCTGTGTATCCGTTGTATTTTCTGGCGATTTCTGCCGTTTTAAGCTTGCTTTACCATCACTGTTGTTCACATCATCTACTTTTATTACGTTGATAAAATCTGTACAGACATCACACCAACCAACTCGCGCGCAAAGTAAGAAGACTATATTGAAGGCTTGAAATAATATTGCGATCGATTTTCATCAAGAAATGGGCCAGGAATATTCCACAATAGTGCAAATAATCGTGAAGGCGGATTGCAGAAAAGCAATTGCGTGACGCTCGGTAAGCTGTAAGATGACATGTTATTATATACCAGACGTAAAAACTCTTCAGATTCTTAGTCTGCATTTTGTACCCACTCTGCAGTCTGCAGTCTATATTTTGTATCCGGTCTGCAGTCTGCTGTCTGCATTTTGTACTAACAGGTATCCGTGGCACCAATACATTTTATTTTTGGTTACATTTATTCGCAAAACACACATAATCTACCACAAAATACCTGTGAGTGAGATAATTCGACATTTTCGTTCTTTCCCACATTAATATTCTTCTCTCCTTTTGTAAGAATGTAGACATCACTCACAATGTTTCAAGTAATCCACCCACCCTACAAAAAAGGAACTCTTGCACGCATAGCATGCCTATGTTTTGAAATAGGTGTATGCCCTTGGCCAGACTTGAGCGCACTATTTCAGTATACTAGTCCGACACCCGTAGTATCACTACACTTGATTCCAAGGATCCAGTACCATCCAGGTATCCCAGTTACCCTGCTCACAGGGTCTAGTTTAGATTATGTTTAATGTTATCTGGTTTAGGGAATTTTGTGGTTGATTGTCATATCTAGAGTACGAGCAGTAGTTCAGTGTTCGTTAATGTAGCAAAGAAACAAAGTAACGTTGGGATAAGAAGGCATTACAATTGAAATGATCATGCTGTTATTTTTGACAAGGTGGATGATGTCATGTGTTTTAAACGTCTATCATTTTTGTTTCTGGTTCAAAAGAAAAGGTTGGAAGTAAATGTGGGTGAAAAGTGAAATCTACTGTCTTTCGTTGTAAATATTAGAAAATCAAGGCAATACTGTCTTAATGAAAACATTAACGATTCCCTCTTTATTAAATGAGACAAACAGGAACGAGTTTTGAGTGATATAACTAAGCCAAGCCTGCCACCGTCATTTTGGATCTCCGCCTGGGTAGATTTAAGTCACGTGCTAGGCAACGTATAATCAATAACAAGATAGAATTTCATTTCAGGCCTATTTATCAATTTTTGTGGTGTGTAACTTTCGCATTTTAGTACGTTGTATGTATGTTGAATCTTCAAATTGTCTTGAAACTTAAAAGAAAATTGTTCATTAAACATTCACTAAAAATTGGTAGCTAAAATTGTTTGTTTAGGTGTTATTTGATTTTCGTGTTAACTTGTTATTTCGTCAGTCATCGGCATCTTTTGTTGCTTCACACAGGAAAAACACACGCGACGAAACGTAATGATCAATTTTGTCCTCAATCTCACGCTATAACAGAAAAAGCTTTTGAACATCTGTAAACTCCGAGCGCTTCGCAGTAAGTGATATTTTCAATGAATCTTCGGATTGTTTTCAAGTTCAAGGATTGTAAATTACAATCTTATGAAAAACGAAGGTTGTTCTGTTATTTCAGTGTGAATCCTTGCATGCCTGCCAGTCGCTGGCGCCGCTTGTTGAAACTAAAACGAAAAAAAAAACTCTTTTAAGATTATCATTGGCTTCTTTTTCACCCCACCACTATTCTTAGCAACAAAGGTCGCCATTTCGTCTGTTTATTGCTCGCCAAAAACTATAAAATGCACTCAAAAGCCTAAAATCTAGAAAAAGTTTACAGGAATCGACCAATCGAGCGAGCGAATGCCATTCCCCACATCGTATCTATAACTCGCTCTTGCGCATGCGCGCAATTCACGAGTTAAAAAGGTTTTCAGTTTCAGTTTGTGGTTACGCATTTCTGCTGTGGTCTTTTGTCTCCGAAAAGATTAAATTTTTCCGAAAGTGCCACCCATACCTTATTCTTAATAAGACACACTGAGTGCGATTCATGATCATTTCCAGTGTAACTTTCGAGAAATCATTTGTGGTCCTGGTTCTTTTGCGGTCTAACCCCGACCCCATTTGTCGCCTTATCTTGACAGCCCAATTTTAATCGTTCATATTCTTGTTTAAAAAAAAGGTTTTAATGAAAGAGACTATATTCTCTCTTTTTTTTTTAATGGTTATTCCATATTGCCGCATTGTCTACAATTTTCCGATTTGTGCCTAAAATGAGGTTCTCTCTGTCTTGCTCGTCTCACTGAAACTTACGTGCATTAGAGCTAGTATTGACAGACAAATCAGCGTAACCTATTCTTTCCTTGACGTATTTCCGGTTTGTTGCCTTCTCTGAGAAGCACTCGCATTTCGTCGTGTGCTTCTTCAAAACAGGAAAAGTTGTTTTTAAAACCGGAAGATGTCTCCAAAAACAGGAAAATGAATTCGATTGAAACCATATAAGTATTAGTTTCCACAAATTGAGAATCGATCAGGAATAAGAATATATGCTGTATGAAGTCTTCAGTCCCCTTATCCTCAAGCTGATGAGCTGATAGGAGCTGATACTGGCGTTGGCAGGACTGTGTCTTCAGCAAAGTTAGGAGGTAAATTAAACCTGTAAGTTAACATATGGAATCCAGTCTTTAAAAACAGTATTATGCATGAGAATCCGATAAGATTGAGTTATTGAAACTTGTTTAAGTAAACACAATTTTAAACCAATTTACAGGGAAGCCGCGGATTTCCACCTACGACAAGAGTCCGATTTAACTCACCCAGATAACGCCATTAAAATTCAATCAATTCATAAGCAGTTTAACACACTCTTTTCGTTGGCCTTAATTTTTAAAAGTAGACATGTAGTCAGCCCGTATAAACTTCCAGACACAGAAAACTGAGTAAGGGCCGGTCACGACTCGATTATTGTTGTTTCTTACTATTTCCTCTTCTGTTTTCTCCGGAAATCTTGCCTTTGCACTTATAGACTACACCCTTGAAAGCGCTATACTGGTAAAAATATAGCTACTTCTACAAAGCTCCCATTGCAAACAGAAAGCTGAGATATACTGGAAAATATTGCAAGCTAAGCTGATTTGCTTACAACGAAGGTAACAAAGATTACATATGCTAAGAACAAACCAACAACAACTACATGTCTACTTTTAAAAATTAAGGTATCATTAATAATCAGTTCAATCAGGCGATAAACTTTAAATTAGTTTCTCGTGCCGTTAGCAAGTCACAAGTGAAGACTAACAATTAACAAAGATTACATATGTTCGAGACCATCCTACAATTGTTGGTCAGCCTTAAAGAATGCCACGGACACTTTACAGCGTCCGCACATGTGTGTACATGTGTAAACGTTTGACTTCGGTGTTATGTCATTCATTCATGATCATTCGAACGTATTTTTCAATTCATGTTTTAGTTCATTTTCAACTTCAGCGTGGCAATCCAACCATCATGTTCTCCGTGGCAAAACATGCTGTTCCTTGTAAAAATGGAAAATGCGTCCTGTCTGAATGTGTTAACCTAAAGCTCAGACGAGAAATAACGAATAACGCAAGAAGGCTTAAGAGGCCTGGCAGGTCACAAATAATGAGTCGCAGAAACTCGGGCAAGTATAAGAAACATGGAAGAAAACCAAGGCCGTAAGTAAATCTTTTGTCTGATTATATTATGATTCCATTTCATCGTTACTGTGTGAGTGTGTGCTGGTGCTTGCGTGCGTTCGTACGCGTCAGTTTTTGAGGGGGTTTACATGTGCGTGCGCCAGTAGATGTGCTCAAATTTAATGTTAAATTTTCAAAAACATTTGAACAGCATTGAATTGAAAACAAAAAATTTTCTATGTATATAAATTTACCCTTGATGAGTCGAACCAGGTTTGACAGTACTTTAGAGATCAAAGAGCTGTGCTGTAGTCCGAAACTCTGAATTATTTTGCAGCAGCCAAGTATTTTCTAGCCGTTTCTGCTTTTTTGGTGTGCACAAAACGTTTTATTTAAGTCCAGGCTTCGCCGCTTTAAGTTCATGCCATTAACCTCTAAAAGTGATTATAACATAGCTAGCAGAGCCGCGCAATCAAATTCAGTATATGTAAGCGTGCTCAAAATCCCGATAGTGCACGCTGAAAGCGTGAGCAAATCGCTTCGCCAGAAATTTTTTTTTTTCGCGCGAGCGGCCATTGTTAGCGCGGGGAAAGATAATATATTTCACGACAATAATGGATACAAACAGAGACTCGGCCCACCAGTCCCAAAACGAAGACAATTTTCTGAATTTTTCCCTTGGGCTAACATATTTCGACAGAAAATTTGAAATTAAAACTAATTCCTATTTTGCTTGATATTTCGCTTACCGCGAACAATCACTTATGATTTTGTTGTCCGTTTTTCGCGTCGGATTTGATGCACAATTCCACCGGCCATGATATGAAACAATTGGTTCATGCTTTTAGTTGTGCACTATCGAGTTATGGAGCACGTGGGAAGTTTGGAAAGCACTCAAGAAGCTAGAGTTGCCCTCGGCTATTGCCTCGGGCAACTCTTACGCTTCTTTCGTGCTCTCCAAACTTCCCACATGCTCCATAACTCGATAGTGCACTCTAAAGCATGAACCATGTGTTAATTAGCGTCTAATTTCTCCTCACAATATCACCTCAGAATCAGGCATTAAGGTCACAAGAATAAAAGAAATGATCACCAACCAAATCGGCTCTTTATTGTCAAACAAATTCTCCTCGTCAGCACCTTACAAAATGTATACAGGTCAGTATGGAGAATATGCATACTGATGTTAGGTGCAAAAAGGGTTAAAGTACTTTGTATTTTCTTAAGGCTTTGCCACCCAAAGCTGTTTCTCATTTCCTCCTACATACAAGAAATCTTAACAAAAATCATAAAACAGATCCCACTCTCTCTGAATCAACAGCAACAAAAATCAGAGTCCAGAGGTAATTGAAATAGAAGCACAAGAAGAGGCAGGTAAAGCATGGGAAGAGGATCTAGAGGATATTCTTGACATTCTGAGACAAGAGACGTTTGAGTCTTTCTACAGTTCTCACCCGCCTAACAGTGCTGCCCCCATCGTCGAAAACAGAGGGCGACAGTGCTATCATGTTTTGCAGCCAGGAATTCTGGCGGAGCGGCATCGTTTTGACGATTCATCAACATTAACAACTCCCCCATCTCTCCAGCAATTAGAAACACAGCAGATGGCAGAAATCCATACTATAACCAGTCCGGCAGTTCACTCCAACGATCTAGATTTTTCAGGGACCAAAAACGAAGGAATCGCCCCGGAAACTTTCGCTAGTAGTGCACCCAACTCATCCAATCTGATGATAGACCTTGATAATACGTTTCATGCACCATATACCCAGGATTACGCCAGGTTTGGAGGAAAAACAGGCACCGTAGAAGTTTCATTCACTTCGGACCAACCCCAAAGCCTCCCGCAAGGAGATGACAACAGGATTACCCCTCAAACTAACAGAAAAGTAACTTCGCCTAAACGATCTAATCATACCAAGTTGTTTGGAGTTCTATCTCTCATTCTTCAAGCTTTCAATACTCACCTTACAGCAGAGAGTGAAGAACTCTGTACAAGTGTACTACAGAGGGCCCTTGCAGAAATTTATGTTTCCCTGTATGATTACAAAAATTTTCGACCATATTAAACGGAAACCAAATATGTGAAAACATCCCTTGTGAAAAGCGTTTCCAAATCTGTGATAAAAGGGTATTGTGGTAATTCTTTAATCACCCCTCAGTTTTGAGACGTGATTTTCCTAAAAAAGGACTAATGTTCAAAATTTCAACAAAAAAGATATGTCATAAATTTTTAGCTAAGCCAAAAAATCAAAGCTAAAAAAATAGTTAATTTGGTTTTATAAATTCAGTGGATAATGTAAACTGGCCATCGTGAAGATTTTCTGAGGCCGACATTGCGAGCATTAGCCCTTTGCTCATACGTTGATTCAGAAGTGGCGTAGGGATCTGTCTGTAAGCGACGCGGATCTTAAGGGACTGTAGGATCTACAGGATTGTTTCTGACGTACAATTTATGTTAAGACAACGGCATTGTCGCCGGCTCTGAGCCCTAAGTGGAAATTAATAAAAGGCTTGAGAGGATTATCGACTTAAACGTGTCAACTGATTCAGTGTTCTCTAAAAGCACCGGCGTCTGGGGTTTTGCTGGCTTTTAGTTTCTGAAGCGTCGGCTACTTTGATTAGAAAAAGTTGTAAATTACCTGCGTTTAGAAAAAATCTTTACCTTTGCCAGCTAGAGGCCACATCTGGAAACATTTTTAATTCATTTACAAGGTTATATTAGTTAATTCTTAAGATATCCGATTATCACAAGTAAAACTTTGATAAGCAGGTAATTTAGTGTTAACAACTGGGTTGAAAACGTAAATTAGCCACCGTAAAGGGTAAAAAAGCTGACGTTTCGAGCGTTAGCCCTTCGTCAGAGCGATTGGACGAAGGGCTAACGCTCGAAACGTCAGCTTTTTTACCCTTTACGGTGGCTAATTTACGTTTTCAACACAGTTGTTAACACTAAATTACCTGCTATACTCTCCCACCGACGCAGCACCACAGTTTCTCTAGAAACTTTCCTCTTTAAAACTTTGATAAGTCTGTTTCTTCTGGAAGATTTCCCACGTCGAAGCCAAGAAAGTATTGCCAAATGTTTCTTTATTCTAGAAAACCATGAGTAATGAACTTTAGGGTTTATTTTTCCTGAATAAGATGATGTTAAGTATATTTCTCTCTGTGAGTAAACATCAAGTAAATTATAGGCAAATGTGCCCGATGGAAATACTTTCCCTTCCTTCGCCTCCCAGCTTTTCCCCGTCCCCTCCCCCGGACCTTTTGAAACGAAATTATTGAGTAAGACTGGGACCAACACAGTTGTTTACAACGATGTCTTGTTGGAAGATAGCATGTTCCTTTTCGTTGCGAATTGGTCGTAAACAGCTGATTTCTTTATTCAGAGGTAGATTGGCGATCAAAAGGAGGTTAAGTTACGTGGTTCTTAGCGAGGGGGAGAGTGTAAGCAACTTTAAATGCAGTGTTTCATTGTAATCGAGAAATCGCCCTGTGTTATTTCCTTGATTTTGTAAATTTTAACTAGATTTTGTTTCCAAATGGCAAACGAGATTTTACTTGTCAGTGGTGTTTTAGTTGGTTGTGTCCATATCATAATGAATCCTAGAAACTTCTACAACCGATAGTTCAAATACGATATCGTAGATCTCATAGAGTCTATACACTAGTCAGTAGCAAAATTGAATGTAAAATGATGCAGTTTATAACAAGTCGGAAAATATATTTTTAAGACACTGGTAATGAGAAGCATAGGGAGGCAAATAAATGGGGGTGAAGCTTCCAACGTTTTGGTATCAAAAAAAGGGTCTGCTGAGTGGTTTCTGCACGTGATAATTTTCGAGGATTTATTTGTAGTTGGAAAGCACGCACAAGGCAATGCTTTGTTGAAGATATGTGTGTTCGATTGCTGGAACCTTTTTTAATTCTATACTAGAATGGTGTGCCAGTTAAAGCGTGGGTGAAAGGTGTTCCTGTGGAAAAGGATGCTGCTGACCAGCTTCGCTCTCTGGCCAAATTGCCAATAATCCACTCACATGTTGCAGCTATGCCTGACATGCATCTTGGGAAGGGAGCATGTGTGGGATGTGTGGTGGCTACTGTTGATGCAATCATTCCAGCGGCAGTAGGAGTGGTCGGTACAACTTATAAATCATTTTAATATGTTTTCAATTAATTGTGAGGATGGGTATGGTAATATGATCAAAAATCTGTTTTGTAACTAGTAGACACAATAATCAGGAAGCCATGTTAAAGAAAATATCAAGAGATGACATCTAAGGTGAAACAGATTTCACTAAAACACCCCCTTTTCCCATCCAGTTACTTGCAGAAACACAGAAAACAAATTACAACATTGTAAAGGTGAAGTAGGGGTGAAAGGTAGAATATTAAAGATGAGATTAGTGTGCTAGAATATTGTGATCTCAGTGACAATGTGTTATGAAGGTTCTTTATTTGAGTAGGTTTCTGAAAGAGAATTAAAGACTTATAAATGATAAAAATTTACTTACTTCCCATTTATTTAGGACATTGGATGTGGAATGATGGCAGTAAGGACAACAATAACTGCAGAACAACTGCCAGATTCACTGAAGAACCTTAGGAGGGCTATTGAGCAGGCTGTACCACATGGGCGAACCCATCAGGTACCTTCATTAACTCACAATTTATTGTTTACTGTTTTAATCCCTTATGGGGAGATTGGAGCGGAATTGGAGTTGTGTGCTCTATTTAGGATTTTCTATTAGTTCTTCAGTCCTTGCACAAAAACCAACATTTCAGGTTCCAATCATGCCTTGAAAACAGTGGACAAAGAGCTATCAATCTATTTTGTTGTTTTTCATCTTACATGTGAAAATAATTTTTTTTGTACCCTTTATACTGATTATATCCCTGTGTATAGAAAAAGAATTTTTTTGTAAGAGTAGTCAGCTCCTTGAGGCAGCCAGAGTCTGGACTAATTCAACTTGATCTAGACTCAAGCTTACAAATCATATGACCAGAAGCACCAGTGAATGGAATTTTCACTTTTTATTGGTTTCTGAGGTGTCAGCTACTCAAATAAGACAAAGAAGTAAAGTGCCTTTGCTGGCCAATGTTTTTCTTTTTTTTTTTTAATGGCTGGCTGCTACAGAATCTGTGGATAACACTGGATACATGTATTATTATTGTTATTCCATTGGTTAACCCTTTAGCGCCCAGATCAAATTTGTCATTCTCCTTACTGTCAATCATACAATTCTTATAATTTTAGTTTAGAGTATTTAGTTTTGGGTCAACTGATTATCCCAAAATTGAAATTTTTCTTTATTCGCATCACTTATCTGGTTGATAAATTGTATTGATATTGTAAGGAGAAATTCTGTTTCGGTCACTCAGGGGAGTTTAAGTGTTAATTCAACTTAACATTGAAAAAGAACGGATTAAGTTTAGGCTTTCTAGTAAGCAATGTTTTCAAATTCTTTCTAGGGTGGTAAAGGTGACCTAGGTGCCTGGAAGGCCAGAGAAATTCCTGACTATGTGATGAATGAGTGGAATAAACTAAAAAAAGAATATGAATTCATCTGCAGTCGCCAGCCATTGGCCAAGGCACAGAACACTGTCAATCATCTGGGGACTCTAGGAACGGGAAATCACTTTATTGAGGTGAATTTGTTGTGAGAGGAGACACATGACTTCTGAGTTTACAAACCAAGTCATAGCAAGGCTACATCTGTTCCTAAACGAATTGAGTTTGGCTATTGTGGCAGTAAAGTGGAAAGCTCTAAATTCCATACATGAGCAGGGGCATTTGAAATCTGACAATAAGCTCATCATGGGTTTTTGATAAAGTAATGCTTTTGTTTGCCATGGAAGTTGAATCTGGATTATTTACAATTCTTGGCCCTGTCTTTAGATTCTATCATGAATGGTAGTTCCTGAATTTTTTTTCTTTTTTTGCTTGTTTGTTTGGTTTAACCCTTTTGTTTTTTCTAAAAAGTGACAAAGAAAAATACACTGATTCTGACACTTTTATTGTGCCTTAAAGCTCCTATCCAAATCCACAACCATCTTTTTTCAAGTGCATATGAGTAACAGAGGATAGCACCGGAGAGGATAGAAAATCTACCTCTTACTAGGCACCACATAACCTCAACAACTTAATCATGTGTCAGACATTTCCCCAATGTTTCCCTCCTTGAAAAATTATGTGAACTTGATTTTGTGAAAAGTGAATTTTCCTGTTTGTATCGAAGCTGTGCTGTGAATATCAACAATGTGTATAGTTTCCAGTTACCTAGACTTTAATTTTCGTTAGGTTTCCAGTTCAGCCTTTCCCGAACGATGATTACTGAGTCGTTAATTCTACCAGTTATCCGAACCATAGTGTTGTTCTCCTTCAGATGTGTCTTGACGAGGAAAACAGGGTGTGGTTTATGCTGCATTCAGGGTCACGAGGCCCAGGCAACAGGATCGGCACAGTTTTTATTGAACTCGCCAAGAAAGACATGATGAAACTGGACAAGCAAATTAAGGTATGCTGTTCCACCCAAAGCCAATATGGTAATTACCCTTCAGAGTTGGGTTAGGTTAGAGGACTAGGAAGCAAGGTTTGAAATCATCGATTTCAAAAAGTACCTTTTTCTCTCTGTCCATACGAGTACAGAAATTTTCTATTTTCAAAATCTCTCATTTCAAGAGGATTTCCAAAAATGGTCCGTTTTGAACCCCTACTAATGATAACTAGCTTTGAACTGGTGGAAGTTGGGACTTTATACCACAGTTTATCAGGAAGATAAGTTAATTTTTTTTAATTACATAGGTTGATAAAGATCTCGCTTACCTCAGAGAGGGAACGAAAAACTTCGACGACTACGTATTTGCCGTTAATTGGGCACAAAAATTTGCTCGCCTGAATCGTAATTTAATGATGACCAATGTGCTCAAGGCAGCAAAGTCTTGTAACGATATGCCGGCCTTCAATGTGGATCCGTCCAGCAAGGCTGTCAACTGTCATCACAACTACGTCAAGGTGGAGACACACTTTGGAAGAGAAGTGTTTCTTACAAGAAAGGGAGCGGTTGGTAACCATAATAGCCCATTATTTACATTCCGTAGAAACAAAGTTGTCTTAACCTCCTTTGGAGCTTTTGTTGCATAAGAAATTTTTTTCATTAAGAGGGTCAGCGGAATATATAATGTACTTTTCGATTACGTGTGGTGAAACCAGAACCAAGGTTATCATGCATAACGGCCAAACAGGGTAAAGGAAAATATCCCAAGCAGCCAACGAGAACACAAAGTAAAAAAAGGTAACCTGGATGAAGCGCGGGAAAACGCGGGTGACCAAGTCGCCATTGATTTTAGTTTTTAATTTGATTGGCTGAGAAAGAGAATGGCGCGAATATGACAGGCAAATCAGAGAACGAAGTAAAGTAAAAACTATCACAATTTAGGATTGTTTTCGGTTCCCAATTGAAATTTCTCCACCTAAGTCGAAATAACGAGGATCTTAATATGCATTCCTTTACATTGACTGTTTTTTTCACGGAATTTTTTTCCTTACAGGTTTCCGCTCGTCAGGGTGAGTTAGGCATTATACCAGGGTCCATGGGCGCGCGGTCGTTCATTGTCAGAGGCAAGGGAAATCCTGAGGCTTTTCACAGGTTTGTGTTTTTTTGTGTGTGTTCGTCATGAATAACAGCGTCTTTACTTCGAACAACTGAATTATTCGCCATACTGCCACTTAGAGCAGAGTGAGTTCAAGGCAGGTTTCCTTCGCACGTTTTCAATACTCTTTTCATAATGATTTTAATATAACAGTAATAATATTTCAGAAAAACAGTAAGTGTAACATTGGTATGGATAAGTGAAATAAAGATTGATTTTTTTACATAGCGCGGTCTCTCAATTTGTTTAACATTGCCTTACTATATTCACAATTAAACTGAGGCGTAAATTTGAAGAAAAAGATGGAAGAACAACAACATAGTGATAATGACTATATTTATGATAACAAATTTTTGAATACTCCTTTAGCTGTAGCCACGGCGCCGGCCGTGTCATGTCACGAGCCAAAGCCAAGAAAATGTTCACAATTGACGATCACGTGCAGGCGACACGAGACGTGGAGTGTCGTAAGGATGCTGACGTGATTGACGAAACACCAATGGCTTACAAGGACATCGATGACGTCATGGCAGCACAGAGTGACTTGGTGGATGTAGTTCACACGCTGAAGCAAGTGGTTTGTGTGAAGGGATGATGAACGCTGTGATGAGCTGTCGGGCACTTTGCACTACTACACTGCACGTGACTTGCTGCGGTAGCCTCCTGCGTTATGCTTCGTAGGTTGTCACGCAATGTTTCCGTTTGAAAGGAATGCACGAAGAAAGTCTGGAAAGGTGCTGGTCTAAGCCTGTATTTTACACGTCATGTAATTCTAGTGGTTTGTCAACGTTTAAATGCAGGCCTCAGAAAATTTCGTGCGAAGGTTACTAGTATATGGTAGGAACGGGACAGAACATACGCTTTGGAACATTCACTCATTGAGAAAGGAAGCTAGTCGGAAAATTCTGATGCTAAGCATTTTAATATCAAGTGTATGTAACGCCAAGTTTAACGCTCGCTTTAGTTAGAAGACGAACACAACTATCAAGTGAATTCCTAGGCTATCGGAATTGAATAACAAATTTGCGACAGGCCGTCCTATTGGTGAATAAATTTTTAGTCAAGTCTGTAACCTAAAGTAAAGTCGCTTATTGTGAGAACTGAATTACATAAATGGAACACGATCTAAAGCCCGGTTCAGACGTCGCACTTCGGCCGCGCCGAATCGAATTCAACGATAGGCGACCTAATTTAGTTAATCCTGGCTGAATTGATTTAGGCCCAGTTCAGACGTCGTACTTCCGCCGAGCTGAATAAAATTCAACGAATTAAGTTCATGTGAAGTACGGCGTCTGAATCAATTCGGAATGGCTGATTTAATTTAGATTGGATCAGTCAATTAATCCCGCCCGGCTCAGCCGGGAAGAAAGGCTGTAGGCCGGTTTTGATTCGGACGCCGTACTTCAACTGAGCCTAACCAAATGCAAAAAATTATTTTAATGTATTTTTCATGCTGTTTTTACTCGAGAGCATGTGCAAAGTAGTGTTTTGCCCGGCTTGGCGGGTCAAACTAGACGATGGTGGCATGTGTTGTTAGTGTTTCGGCTGTATTGACGCGTCGCTACCACTCGATAATGCATGACCAGAAGGAGAGTGAGTGCACATACGGTTATCACTTGTCTTCTTCTTCTGGCTACAAAATAGGCTAAGGGTGCGTTCCTTTGGGAGAATCCGGATCCGATCTAAATTAAATCAGCCATTCCGAATTGATTCAGACGCCGTACTTCACATGAACTTAATTCGTTGAATTTTATTCGGCTCGGCGGAAGTACGGCGTCTGAACTAGGCCTTAGAGTGACATTTTACTCAACACAGGCAGACCACACTATGTGTTCTTGGTTAATAATTGACACGAGACGAACAAAATTTGAATATCTCAATAAAATTACATGAAGTGTCAATCGACTCATTTTTGGTATTTTGCGCATCTTTTTACGAAATTGCTTTTCTCAAGGTAGGAGACATTTTCTGTAGTTTGGCGTTAATTCTAGTTTGGAGTGGAAGCGGTCGCGGCTGGCGACCATCGAGTTGCAAGTCATGTCTCCTTTTCTTCTCGACGGCCTCCGGCCCAAAAAATAATTTCGTAAAAAGTAGCTTGAAACGGCCCATGAAAGTGAAAAAAAAAATACCACAAATGCGTTGATTAACACTAACGTTATTGAGATACTAAGACCCAGATGTAATTTCGATAGGCAATTTTCAGAGTTTATTCATAACCCTTATAGATTTTGTTCGTTTGATATCAACAATTATTATAACCAAGAACACATAGTGTAGTCTGCCTGTGGACTCAGTTGTAAATAGACCGCTCTTCGATTGATGATTGTCGTAAAACCAAAACCAAAGTTAAAACAACAGCCACTCGGAAGAAAATAAGATACCGTGACGAGCCAATAGAAATCCACATTAAAATGACGCAAACCGCCCATGGAGCGCGGGAAAACGCGGGCGACCAAGTCATAATTGGTGTTAGTTTTGAATTCAATTGGTTGATGGAGTGGCACGATTTTTCTGGACCAATCACAGAGCAAAGTAGAGCAAAACTTAAAACCAATGCAAACCGATTATTTTCGACACTTAATTGGAAATTTCTCTTACTTACATCGAAAGGATTAAACATTCAAAACTGAGCCAGGAAGTTTTAGTCTTATGTATTCACAAAGTTTCTGATTTACCGGAATAAGCATCAGATGGAGTCGTTATCAGTATGGCTCATATCTCAATATGTTTGAGTGGGAGGGAAATTATTTCTGGTAATTAAAATACGTAGAACAACTTGATGGCTTAATTTATCAATTATTGAACCTGCATACGCTCTCGGAACATTTTTCTTTCATACAAAGTATATGGAAAAAAATTTGCCTTATACAATGGTCGTATTATAAGTAATTTTTTTCATTTCAGTCATTCTCAGAAACCTGTGGAGGTTTTGAACGTCTAAAATGTTTGTTTGTTTGATTATAAAAAGGGAAGTTATTAAGGATCGAAAACGAATGCTACAGGAAGTTCAAATAAAGTCCATTTCCAAACTGCTCTCCCTATTCTGACGTCACACCTCTGCATCAGTCCTTTGTAGTTATACAAAACCGCGCGGCAAAAATGCTTACAATCTGGGCACACGGTTTTAGTCAAAAATCGTGGGACGCGATCCGGGTTGTCATCGTGGGACCAACTCCAGGGGCACATTGTAGAACTTGGTGTCTGTAAAGTGATTTGACGACTGACACGTTTTGGAATTACTGATAAGTGCACCTGCGAAGGGTAAGGATTTTCTACAAACATGTATCTACGGAAGAGGCGTTTGATTATTCGTTGAGGATTTTGATGATGATGTGGACAACTGGTCACTTTCAATGATGAGTAGATCAGAATTAGAACCACAACTATGACAGGACACTGAAATAAAGGAAAATACCGAGATATGTAATTTATTTGTTTGTTCTAACAGCGATTTAGTGAATTATTTGGAGTAAATTGAAGTTTGAAAAATTTGAAGCTAGATTTTTACATTTCTTCGCCGCTTTCTTGTGATCAACAAGACTTTTCAGAGAGTTGACATGATTTTAAGAAGAAAATTCAGGAGCTCAAAGAATTTTGTGAGAACTATTTCCCTTTCAAGGTCATTTCTGTATGTTGTCACGGTATGTTTCCAGCAAGGAAACAATGTTCGTTCAGTCAGATGCCTCTCTAACACAGCTACAGACAAAGCAATTAACGGCAAAACATACTGGTAACTTAGAGGTTATCATGTACAAAGTTCAAACGAGATAATTTACTTTTAAGCCGTCAGAAACAGCGATATGCAATGAGATAAAAAGGATAAAGCCCGTGACTCTTCATTTGTCAAAATTCGATTGAGGTTTAACGCACCGAAATCAAAGCAAACAAAAAAAATTTTTCAGATTTTGAACTTCACTGATTTTTTTTTCGTATTTTGTGGATAAAAATTCTCTTCTTTGTTTGTGAAGTATTACAGAGTCGCATGTTAGAATGATTAAGGAGACAATTTCCGAGTATTCAAGAAAATTCATTAAACTAGAACAGGAATTTTCACCGTTAGACAAAAATTTGTGCGAACAAAAAAGGTAAGAGTTTAAAGGCTCCTAAAGAAAAAAGATAAATCTTCCCTTTTTTTACGTAAAAAAAAGGTCCTAAGAAATTAAAAAAAACCTCACCTTTCTCCAAAAATAAAGCATATTCAGCTTATTTACTGTTTGCTTCTTGCGTAACACGGAAATAGGCTCGGGTTTGCGAGCTATATCTGTGGAACTCACTTTGACAGATATATATTCATTAACAATGAATGCTTTAAGCTGACCAATGGTGCCGCGAGATTTTCTATATCTGTGCAGGCCAATATTTTCAACAAAGTGGAGTCACGGGGATATTAAAGTTATACTTGTGGCAAATTGCCACGCCGCGCTAACATGTTTGCAAAATGTCACGGAATACGAGTTCCACTGTTTGGGAACGAAGCGTTGGCGGGCGAGTGAAAACACCGCGCACTTTATAAAACTTAGCTTTGAACTGATGATAATTGTTAAAAGCTTCAATAAAATAAAGGAAAATAAACAATCGCAGGAGTAATGGTTGTACACACCACATCTTTGAAGTTCCCATTGTCGCTCGGGCTTTGGCTGGGTTAGACTAAGGTGGTATGTCGCGATGAAATGAGACTGTCTCAATGAGAATTTTCGACCCTTCTAATCATAAACTTTTGACAGCTTTCAGCCGACTATGGGTCTTGATTCGAAAAAAGAAGCAAATTTTGGTCATTACATCGTGTGTATTAACAAATTAGGTCATCGGAAGTTAATTTATGTGATTTTATCGAATGAGTCAGAAGAGTACAGTCGTTTATCAATCGGAAGCGAAGAGCGGAACGCTCGTGGAGTCTCGCTCGGCCTTTTCCCATGCGATAACTTCATAAATTTGAATTAACGCATACCAAAGGTAAATCTTTTTATGCCAGAGAAAATCACAAAACCGGTTTTTTCCCCATTTCTTTTGTGTTACATCAAGAACGAATTTTTAAAAAATGATCGCGGTCTTCTTAAGCTGACTTAAAATAACATTAACCTTATCAAATAGACGAAAGCTGTTGTAAGAGGTCAACTTTTCGTTGAATTCGAGGGCTGATACAATAGAGAATACAGTTGTGAAATTATCCTCATTACTGCATGGTGGCTGTTACGTCATTAACCACCTGACTGAGCCGGTGGCACCGAGAACTAGGGAAAGACTTATAATTTCGTTTCGTGCTACTAGATCAAAAAGTTATTTAAATGCTCTGGTTTTTGGAAACAGTTTCAAGGTTATTCTCACGAGAAATTTGTTTTTGCCTTTCCACATATCGAGTTTATTTTTTTTATTTTTCTAAAGGGGTGTATGCGCTTGAATTAATCTTCCATTTCTATTACGTAAAAATTCTTTTGGGTAATTACTCGGCCCTCGCCTTCGCCCTCAAGGATAGAATGCTCCGCCCTCTCTCGACCGTGAGTAATGAGGTCTACTGGAGATCGCAACGTATACTGTGAATACTAATTTGGCACACTCTCACTTAACTGAGTTCCTTTGAAAGGTTAAGTCATATCACTGAAAAGGTTTTAAACATAAAAAAAACGAAAATAACGCCTTCGTCTACGATAAAATAAAAAAATACAAATGAAAAAGGAGGTTAAACTGACAGAAACATGGCAAAACAAAAGTCATGACCTTCTATCGCGAAAAGTAGTTTTCAAAACTAAACTTTCTGTGCAATTTTATGTTGGAAATACCTAAGTATTCAAAGGAAATTCCCTTATTTTGTATAATGTTTCCCTTTTTGTGCGTGGAAACAGTTGTAATATGTTTATCTTTCACTGTCATTATCAGTAGTAAGTAATTTAGTCCCTGGTGGGCAATGTAAAGAAAGCACAAGCTCTATATTATATCGACGCGCGGTTTTACCCTCTGAAGTCGGAGAGTGGCTCGCAAAAGGCAACCAAGCTCCACATCCAAAACTTTTGTCATAAATCCCGTTTTGTCTAGACCCCACAATTTAAACTTTTGTGTTTGTTTGTGTGGCCCACGCTTTCAATAGATGATATGTCTGGGTGAGTGTTAGCAAGGTGTCGTGCCAAGTGGAATTATGCAATGTCGCAATTATTCCTAACAGATATATCATGAATATAAATGCACCTGCTCTGATTCAGATTCTTAATTATACGTGGTGTATAAAAACCAGTGCAACTACACTTTTTCATCATCCGTCAGATTGAAGGAAACTGGTGAACTTTGAAATAAGAAGAAAAATGAATGTCGTCTGGAAGGCAAAGGTGAACTTTTTATTTCAGTTACTATGAATGTACTCTCTGATGATCGCCTGATGAAAGAAAATCCTTTAAGATTCTTTTATCGATTCCTATGCTCTTTTAACTGTAAAAATCCTTATCAAATTCAAACGTAATTTTTGACGCCTTATTTCGACGAAGGATTTTCTTAGATTTTATTATTTCAGGTTGGTAGACTATGCCGAAGCATAATCTACAATAAGTGTCTCGCAGAAGCGAATGAGAGTAAATCAGGAAAGTATAACAGGAAAGTTTTAAGAGGACCTGGAAAAAGAAATCTTTAAAATAGTGCTCTTTTAAAAATCATTAGTTAAAAGGTTGGATCAAGAGGAAAGAGCCTCTAAAAAACATAACTGAAAATCTTTTTATAAAGAGCTGGGAGAAAAACCGATTCCTAACAAAAAAGAAAAGATTATTCAGACATTAGCAATAAAGAGCAGCGAGAATTTTGTGGCGGAATCTGTTTCATGAGGAATCGTTTATCTCCTGCCACAAATGGCATTCTGTAACTTTCATGTGAGTTAGATTGATCAGATAACAATGAATAAACTTAAGTGCCGCTCTCACTAAGAGCGATCCTCTCGACTTCCTGTCGGAAAAAAGTTTTCTTTTATTTTTTGCCCATGAAAAGGGTTTAGGACACATGTTTCAAAAATAGTTTAGTTGTTCTCCAGTTCTCTTTTTTTGCGTCGCCACAAGTCAAAAATGAATTTTGGTCAGACCACCCTTGTGGATAGCGATCGAAAGTGTAACTGAATTTTAAAGATTTTGTCCAGCGCGCAGCGACTACAACAATGTAGCTCACGGAATCCTATCTAGCTACAAGTTACAAGATGTATTCAGTTAGTTCACAAACAAAATATGGAAACTTCAGCTGAAATATTTTTCATACCAGCATGATCAGAGGAGACCCTTCTCTTCGACCTTAATTTGCATATCAAAAATTCACTACTTTTTACGAAAGAATTCTCAAAATGTAGGCGTTAATCGGGCTGAAAAAGCATATCAGTGCATAGTTTATACACCAATGAGGTCACGGATTGCCTCAAACCTGCGGGTATATCTCTAGCTTCCATCCACCAACTTCTTAAAAACAACGCAACGCGGAACCCGATGAACTAACCCTCCTTTCTGCAAATTTGTTTCGATTAGAATCGAAAGTTGTTAAAATGGACTGAAAAATTCAGTTTTACATTTTAATGAGAATTTTATCTTTTAAAATGTTTACTTGATTCATGGAAAGCAAAGACTGGAGTGTCTTTGGGTATTTCAGCCCTGATTTGGAAAAAATAAAACAGTTATTGGTATGTTCTAAACATCAGAACACCTGAGAGGACACTGGAAATGTGGTAAAAGTATTTTTTAGCATCCAGAGCAAAAAGAAGAATGTGAGGCAGTGAAAGGAGACTGAGTTTTCAACGCCATTTGTCGTAAAAGCCGCCACCAGCTTGTTATTGAACTCACTAAAATTTACCTGGAAGTCATTAACTTTCTTTTGTCGCGAAACTTGTGGATTTTAAAACTTTAAAACGACGTACGATGAGTTTGAGTCCATTGGTAAACTGTGTCAGCTGGTTTCAGGAGCAGATCAAGTGCTGACAAAATTTGACAGTTTTGAAATTTTAAGCGGATGCAAAAATCGAGACAAAAATTTGTTATGACACAATTTGTCCTTTGATTTTGTCAATAGAATTCTGGTTTTGTCTACTATTGCAGATAGCCCAGATAGGCGCTTACGAATCAATTTTTAGTCAAATAATAGCCTTCACTCTCGAGAAACTTCAAATATATTACCCATGTTATCCGACTAAAACTTTAATTCCAAAAAATTCGAAGACATCTCCAGTCAGTCTGGCTTTCTTTTACTGCCTCACATTTTCCCTTGTGCTGTGGCTGTTAACAAGTACTTTCACCGCATTTCCAATGTTTCTTAAAGTGTTCGGATGTTTAGAACATACCAATAACTGTTATAGCGGAGCTCGCAGAGCGTAGCCTCATAATTATACAAAGTAAAAGTAACCCATCAACCCGAAAAAATTTGGATGTACGACCGTACGACCATACGACCATACGACCGTACGACCGTTCGACCGACCGTACAAGGTGCTACTTTTAGCATGCGCGGCCAACTGTATCACGGGCACTATCTTATAATCAATCCTCTACACGGACACGGAGAAGTTGCGAATGAAAATCCATTAATATTACCACGCACTTTATCCATAGTAGGGGCTTTAGTTTTGTTGAAGAGACGTGCGGGAAAAAAATGGGAGCTCCGCTTTTAGGCTTGCCTAAATCTATATATTATTTTTTTCCATACCGTGATCAAAATGACCGGAACGAAACAAAATTAACTTGTAATCGAGGATTTCGCTGGATAGCTGGTAGTAATTAAAATGACTCAATACGTCGTCCCGGCATTCCAGGAGAGAAATCAGGGCTGAAATACCCAAAGCCACTCCAATTTCTGCTCTCCACGAATCAAGTAAACCTTTTTAAAAGTTAAAATTCTCATTAAAATGTAATTCAGTCCATTTTAATGACTTTCGATTCTAATTCGTTACATTAATTAATTTTGGTTTCAATTTGTAGAACCCGCGAAACAGGCCATATGGTAAGGGGAAAAATTTGCACAATCACGTCACGCAATATATAAACCGGGTTTGTCCAGTTGATTTTGATGGTCGCAGGGAAATGTCGAGTTTGTCGCTCAAAACCTTTGTGGTCCATAAGAGCGTAACATCATTAGTGATGGAAACAAATCTGCGGAAAGGAGGGTTAGTTCATCGGGTTCCGTATACTAAATCTCGGGAGATACTGCAAGAATTATTTCAGAGTGTATGCGTGTTGTTTTGTAAATATAAACACTGTAACCTATTTTAACTTGTTTTGGTGTCCTTTTAAGCAACGCGATATGTCTGTTATGACCAGAGTGCCAAATTTATTCTTTAATTTTGATCTTTTCCACACTGTGCGCAGTTCATGACCTGATATTTCTACGTAAATTATCGAGAAGGTGCCTTCCGATCACCTTTGTCTACTTGGTAAGTCACGCAAGCGAGAAAGCGTTGCGACCGATCACCTTTACGCAACGTTTTAGGACAACTCGGCATCTAATCTCCATTCAGTTGCTGTGAAAACCTAAAATCCTCAACGTAGCAGATAAACGAACGAAGTTTGAACGGTCAAAAGGAGATCTTGTTCAATTTTAATAATCATGCAAGTGATCTTTGACACGAGTGCAATTGAGCAAACACATGGATTTGCGTTGCTTTTAAGAAGTTGGTGTATGGAAGCTAGAGGTATACCCGCGGGTTTGAGGCAATTCGTGACCTCATTGGTGTATAAACTATGTACTGATATGCTTTTTCAGCCCGATTAACGCCTGCATTTTGAGAATTCTTTTGTACAAAGTTGTGAATTTTTGATATGCAAATTAAGGTCGAAGGGAAGGGTCTCCTCTGATCAAGCTGGTATGAAAAATATTTCAGCTGAAGTTTCCATACTTTGTCTGTGAACTAACCGATTACATCTTGTAACTTGTAGCAAGATAGAATTCCGTGAGCTACATTGTTGCAGTCGCTGCGCGCTGAACAAAATCTTTGAAATTTACACTTTCGATCGCTGTCCACAGGGGTGGTCTGGCCAAAAATCATTTTTGACTTGTGGCGACGCAAAAAAAGAGAATTGGAGAACAACTAAACTATTTTTGAAACATGTGTCCTAAATCCTTTTCATGAGCCAAAAATAAAAGAAAACTTTTTTTCCGACGGGAAGTCGAGAGGACCGCTCTTGGCGAGAGTGGCACTTAACAATTAAATCCTGTCAGTTTTCCCCAAAAGGAGTTTTTATAACCACGGTTCTAATAATTCTTTGTTTCAGCTGTTTTTTATCTCTCTACTGTTACGTGAAATTTCATTGTCGTTTCAAATTTCCTGTCCGGATGTCACGCGTAGACCACGAGCTCGCAAGAAACTTCACCATCTTCGTAATAACTTTCTTTTCGTCGAGAACGTAGATTCTTCGGAAGAGTCTGGTCAGACCTCACGACAGATTCCACATTCCTACGAGTGCCCTTTTAAATGGGACCGAGATGACGACCCGGCTCGTCTCCCTCGATTCATGACGAAGGCTGTATGTCGAGATTGTAAGCATTACTGCCTACCTGTGCACTACTCACAGAAGGGACTGGTACGAAAATGTGACGTCAGGACAGGGGAGGTAGTTTGGAAATGGATAACAGTTGAACTTCCGGTAGCTTTTGTCTACAATGCCTACTCTGGGTGAGGCGTGATTTCCTTTATGAAAGCGCTCATTTTACAGCTAATAGGACATGCAAAATAATGCTGATTGACTGAAATTACCATGTTTTGTTTCATTTTTCTTTTTAAATTTAAGTTCAATTGTCTAAGTGGGATTCAAATGATTTAAACACTATTTTTCACAAAACATTAACCTGAAGGATTCTGGAATAAGTAGTTAAATTGCCAATTTTCATTACCTATACAGCTCATTTACTGCTAAAAATTATTAGGCTAGTGTATTCTAAATATGAAAGTGATTTTATTCCTTAATTTTGGATTAAAAAATACTTATACAATGATAATGAGTGTATCTGTTATATTGAAAAAATTACAACATCAACATAAAAAATCCTGTAAAAAAATAAAATAAAGTTACACCATTGATGAAGAGTCCAGTAAAATTGAGAATTTTCAACTGTAAGGCTAAAATGTCTGACCTTGCTATCCTATCACTGAATATCAGGTCATCTGCAAAAACAGATGTGTTAACCTTTTACATCCAAACATCAGTATGCATATTCTCCATACTGTTCTCTTAATCCTTTAACTCCTATGAGTGACCAAGACAGAATTTCTCCTTACAATATCAATACAATATCAATCAGTCAGGTGATGAGAATAATGAAAAATATAAGTTTGAGGATTTTCTAGTTGATCCAGTACCAAATTCTCAGAACTAGCATCATAAGAATTGTATGGCAGACAGTAAGGAAAATTACTCATGAGATCTTGGGCATTAAATGGTTAAGGTGCTTACAAGGAGAATTGGATTAATATTCAAGGGCTTCTTCTGTTGTTGATCATTTCATTTCTTCTCATAACCTAATGTGTGATTTGGGGGGGATATTGTGAGGAGTGATTGGATGCTAGTTACTCTTAGGGGTTGGAGGGTTAATTAGTGGAACATATAGAAAAATACTTTTCAGTCACTAATTGGAGAGTTTCTTCAGCACCGTAATTTACATAAATAAAATTCAATCTCCATAGAGGAAAAGTTCATTTTCCATAATGACTATGATTATCTCAAAGCCAAGGTCTCCTTAACAGTCCAAATGCATGTCAGTAATTTTCCAGGTCCTGTCTTAGATCCTCCCTTTGATCCTCCCTTGAGGGAGGACTGTATGCTAATTTGCTACACAACATTTTGTTGTCAAGCCCATGTCAGTGAAGATCAGGGCTGATTTAACAAGAATTTTCACTCAATAAACAAATGTCATACTAAATGAAAACCGAGTTACAAAAACTGCACAGGACATTTTCAATCATGTAGTGAAACACATTGGGAATTTCTAAGGACAAAAAAACTGTTCACAAATCATAAAAAGAGTTCAAAACCCTCAGAACTAATTTAGACACCATTGTGGTTGCCATTTTATTGTTTTGATAACCAGTAAGGTGCTTTCACATTGCATGGGAACAATGTATTAAAGATTCAACATACACAGTAGATAAGATCATGGTCTACATCTAAATCCATGTAAACATAAGGAGTTATTAGAAAATAAGTTTTCCTTGTTGTTTTAAAATGCTATTAAGGAAACAGGTGATGAGAATTTTGAAATCCATCAACAAAAATAAATTATCATGATATAACACCAAATTCTCAGGAATAGGCCACAGATCTGTACAGTCATTGGTTGGGAGAATTTGTTTTCTAGATGTTGGCATTGACAGGGAAACAACCAGGATCTTGCTCACATGATGCAGAAAGATTAAATTTGTAGACAGACCAAATGAAACTGGTGCAAAATAATTCATTGCTAATGCAGTAAGACTCATTATATCATTCTGCGTCAGACTCTTCACCAGGTTGACCAATCAGATCTTTCACCTTCAACAGATCAACTAACTTGTTGATGTCATTACCACATGCTAAGTCCACAATGTCTGTTGGCATTCTGCTAAGGTGTGCTGGATTAGGCTGCACCCCAGCTGAACCTGTCACATACTTAAACACACCTTTAAACTCATCATCATTATCACTGATTGTCAAATGAAGGTTTGTGAGCTCTTCCCATGTAAATAACAAGGGGGCTGTCTGAGCACCAAATGGGTTGAAGTCGATCAGTAACACCTTCTGAGAAGCATACCTGTAAACATCAAATGTGTATGAACTGTCTGGAAATTTGTAAGCTATTTTCTTGTTGAAAAACTTCGCGATGTCGTTACAAATGTCTTCTTCATTTTGTGCAAGAAACTCATAGCAGCTAGCAATATCCCGCTGAGAGATTGCAATGAGTTTGTGATTTTTCACAAAACATCGAAATTCCATTCCTGGATTTATATCTTTCCATTTGCGAAGTACAAGTTCAAAACCATCCTGTAGTTCCCCTTCTTCATCTTCACAGTGTTTGAAAGTCTCAAACAATACCTGGGAAATGTTGTCAGAGCTCTTTAGCAGAAGATAAATGTCATTAGGGGAATCACATTTGAGTGAACCGTCAAAAGAGATCCAAGAGGCGTCCAGTGGGGCTCTCCAATTCAATTTAGGGAAAGCACTTCCATTTAAATCGAGTATAGCGTCTTTGATTCCAGTGTCAATTTCATTGAACTCAGGAGCAATTATCGTTTGTTCGCTGGGGTCTTCGTCCAAAGCTTGCCATTCGTCAGAATCACTCTCGATTTCATCGCCTGAATTTCTGGTGGCAACTGGTTCACCGGGCAGAACAACATTGTCAGCTTTAAGATAATCCACAAACTCCTTCGAGAGAGGAATCACCCGGCTTCTAATAGTGATGTTTTTGAACTTTGGATACCAAACAGAAAAGTTGCAATTCAGCACGTGTTCCCGTTTCATTTTCCCGTTGGAAGCTGAGACGGAAGAATGTTGCACCTTCCTTCAGTTTTTTTAATCTTAGCTCCAAAAGCCCCTTTTATATTAAAGGCGCTTTCGTCTGAAGAAGAAGGTTGAGGAAGCTCATGGAACAGCGAAGTTGATCATTACTGTGGTTATTACATCACCCTTCACGATTGGTTATCGACTTTCCGACTAATTATCGAGGCGCGGAAGTTTCTTGGTTGGTCGGCGCGCTAAACCGAAAGCAAACAGCGCAATAGCTTATGGGTAAACTTTATTGTCTTTCGCGATGGCCCGTATAACAACAACATGGCGGCTACCATGAAATGGAAGCGTGTAACAAATTCTACTGGCCCTGTGCCGCGGCCAAGGCATGGTCATCGAGCGGTAGCAATAAGAGAACTTATGGTCGTATTTGGTGGTGGAAATGAGGGAATTGTGGACGAACTTCATGTGTATAACACAGGTAACACTCAGCGCGGAAGGGTACAAAACATGGCGGCCTCTATGTCGTTTGTCTTCGCGCCAGATTTTGCAATGCGTTTTTTATGGCTCAGTGCCCTTGCGAAAGCAGTTCTGTTGTATCTCGATCTTATAATGTGCTCAATTTACTTTCCAGCAACGAATCAATGGTTTGTTCCGGCGGTGCGAGGAGATATTCCACCGGGATGTGCTGCGTACGGATTTATCGCCGATGGAACCCGACTAATTATATTTGGAGGAATGATTGAGTACGGAAGATATTCTAATGAGGTAAATATCCTCTTTTGCGCATTTTATATCAATTTTATTTCTATATTTAAAAAAATTTTACTGTGAAAATCACTTCACTGATTTATTTATGCTGTTCATTGTGTCTCCTTTTTCTCGGTGGCAATATGTTTGAGCGCTTAAGTGTACAGGTTTTTTTTGCAGAAAAAAAATCTTTATAAATAATTAGGTTTCGCGTGTCTTGTTTTTATATTGAGAAGCGATCCATCAAACTTAAAGTATGAAATATTGGCTTTCGACTGTAATATCTGCTTTAACAAAAGAAAGTTGGATTTATATGGAGCTTCAATCAAAGTAATTCAGTTTATTTTAAATCCTAGATTGAGTGCGCATTTATCCCTTGTGTTTACACTTCGTTAAATCAAGCACTATCACAAATCCTTTTTATTCCTTGATTGGAAAAACGCCTCTTTAAAAGTCAGATTTTCACTTTTCTCTTAGATAGAGCGAGAAACGGCGTACCTGCTGTTTTTCTGATACTCAGGGAGCGTTAAAGTTCATATCCATTCTCTGTAGCTGTCCGATCGCTTGCGTTTCTTGCGTAGATCTGTTTTACGTTACAAACGCCATGTCTTGTTTTCTGAAGTGGGCTATCAAAGCACTTTTCCGTTCATCAAAGGGTGAAACAATACTTTTAAATCAGCTCAGACTCAAACGTTTTTATTGAGGAAAAAATACGTTTTTAACTTCCTTTTTGTCCTATTTCTTCACTCAAATATTTTGAAAATTGATACACGATATTGTACCAAATATTAGATATGGATGTCTCACCTATTGTTCTTGTCTCATGTTACGCATGGTTAAAATCAGATATTCCCTATGTTGGACCTAGTATCCAGAGTCTTTTAATTCACTTTCCTGATATGTGACCTAGGTCAAGGTTTACAGGAAAGATCTTTAAAAAGTAAATGTAATTTTTGTTGAAAAAAAGAAAGTGTCCTTGGAGTCTTATGGCTTTCAATTTTTGTCTGAACAGTTGTACATCATTTGGAATGATTTGTATACTATTTTTAATGTAGAATAGGTTGTACATCAGTACTTTTATCCTTGGAACACTATTAAAAAATTATTCGGGATAAAAATTTTTCCTTTCAAAATATTAGTTAGTCATGAGAAGTAAATGTTCATTAGTGTTATGTCTTCCCTCAGTTTGGTTTTTGCTAAAAGAAATGTTTTCTAGATTAGAATATGATAAACTATCGATTACATTTAATTCGGCAACACATATAGCATGTTGCAAAAAAAAGAGCAACATTTGAATATATGTAGAGTGGAAATTGCAGTTACATCATAGTTGTGCTTTTCACCCTGAAAAAAAAACACGCATCCATGGAAAAAGTTTTAAGGCAGACAGTAATTTCTGTTCTAATGATATACAGTAAAATTTTTTGCTACTGTTATGTAACTGTGTTTTTACTGGTAAAAAGAAGTAATCCCAGTTAGGTTTAAGAAATGACATTTTGAAAGGGTCATCATTCCAATTTAGACTCCAACTTGATTATTTCACAGATTTACTTATCTATTTTAGCTCAGTGATAATTATTTTGATTAGCAACTTAAGAAGTGTTTCATAGATGCTGGTTGTTTATTGTAACATCAATTTTCCATCATGAAAAATAAATTAATTTTGTAATGTAAGAGTAGACTTAACAGTGGCTGAAGTTTTTATTCGGTGAGGGATGGGTGTTGAAATTATGACTGAACAATCTAATTGAAAATCTTGAGATGTATCAAGAGTATGATGTTTGTGGTCCAAACCTGTTTTGCAAATGATGCATGTGTATTGAGGAAGTGTCAGTGGTTGTGTTCCTTTTCATTGTTGAAAATGAATTGTTTACTTCCAAATGGAAGAAAATGTTTGCAAAGGACGAGATTAAAATCTTTGTTTTATGAATCAGGATGCATTCTATATAAAACAGATGTTTTTGTTATCATTTTATCTTCCTTGCTAAAAGGATTCCAGCCTTATCTGGATTATTTAAACACATGCCTTATGATTAGTCTAATTTCATGGATGTTTGCTTTGGGAGTATTTTCAAATTCCATCCACACTTGAATATTGTATCATCATAAAGTTGTCCCTTAAAAAGTAACTTTATAGTCTGATTTAGTCTTTTAATGTTTTCAAGTGTGAATCAGGTGATGTGGATGGCTAGGCCATTGAAAGTTATTTTCTCAGAGATGGTGATTTTGATTTTGAACTAATTATGTCCTCTTTAGGTTGGAAAATGCAAATGGAAAAACCATGATTAACTTAAATGAATTGATTGGACCACTTAGATATTAAAGGGTTTGAATGAAACCTAGCTATTTTAATATATTTGTGAAATACTGACTTTTAAAAAAGTAGAATAAACATGTCAAATATTCCTTTCATGAACATGTCAATGATTCCTGACACTTTTTATTAGGAACATTATTAGAACCTTTTTTTTTTTCATTCTTTGAAAGTTTGACTTTTTCCACTCATCTTCACTCTGTCAGCTTTTTTTTTTTTTTTTTTTCCTTTGGGCTCAGTGAATGACATTTGGGAGGTATTATGTTATCACAAAGTTAAGAGACTTAAAAAAAAATACTTAACACTTCTGACCTTATCAGTACCAGTCATGTTTGACAGATGAATTTCTTATATGGCCTGCCTCACTACAACTGTCCATGGTTGTGTTGTAGTTAAAAAAAATATGTTGGCTCCAGTCATTTTATCCTAGCCTCATAAAACAGTTTCTTTGTTTTAAGATAAGAGTGATAAATTTTTATTACAAAGGAGTTTGGAAATTAAAATACTGTATTTGAAGTCATTTTAATGAGGCACTGCAACCTAAATGTTGTCTATAACAAGGTTTAGTTACTCAAATTATTATAAGACTAGTTTGATTTTAGTTCTTTTCCCTAGATATATCTTGTAAGTGGAACTCTTAACTATTGTCATTTAGGTTTTTTATTTTATATGACACCGGCCAACCAAAGGATTATGATGGGATTACAAAATAGTACTTTTCTAACTTATAAATTATACAATTTGAAAAAAACATAAGAAATTGAAAAATAACACTCTTGCATAACCAAATGAGAGATGAAGGGAGGTATGAATTAAAAAAAAAAGCCCTAAATGATATCTGCTAGACTGCTGGGTTCTCCTTTTAAATAATATTGCATTTTGTTTTGAAACATGGGGAGGTTTTAATGTTCTATCAAAAATCACTGACAAGTATATTCCATACACCTCTATATGACACCTGGGGGTATATGCTTGGTTGTACTGGCTAATAAGCTTCCCGGTGTTATCTCTTATTTTAAGCAGGACAGGTGAAAATAAATTTTGTAACCTGCTGTGCTTGAAATAAGGGAGAACACTGAATGCAGCAAAGCAAGCATATTGACCAATACAGCCAAGCATATATAAAGCAATCCTTTTACTTTACCTTTGCAAGAATTTCAAGAAATTTTAGGAGGTTAATTTTAATGGTTACCATCTGATAAGGAGAACAATAAGCATGTAGTTCTCATTCCCACTTTATGGAAATCCTGAGACAATAAAAATACAACTAGTATGAATAATTGAAAATGTACTTTTGATCATTTTTTTTGTCAGATGTATGAACTTCAGGCAAGTAGGTGGGAATGGAAAAAACTCAAACCAAAAGCACCTAAACCTCCAGGAGGACACCCATGTCCTCGCCTTGGACACAGTTTTACAGCTGTTGGTCACAAGGCATATCTGTTTGCTGGTCTGGCTAATGACAGTGATGACCCAAAGAACAACATTCCCAGGTCTGACTTATTGTAATAGTCCACTTATGTTACATGCTTGGTCTATTAATTAGTTAAAAAAAAAAAGAGAGAGATATCCTGTTCACTCCTTTACTCCCAAGCTTCCTGTTAGTCTTTACTTACCTTTCTATATTGTTTTAAAGTTCATCTGTTTGGAGAGGTGTTGACAGTTTCTACCTTGAAGAAAGAATACTGAACTAAAATTTTTGCATTTACAGATATTTGAATGATCTGTACGTTATTGATATCCGAACAAGTAGTAACCTACAATGGGAGATGCCTTCAACATTTGGCATGACCCCATCTCCCAGAGAGTCACATACTTGTGTTGCTACTTCGGATTCAGACAACAAGAGACCTAGGCTTATTGTGTATGGTGGAATGAGTGGCTGCCGCTTGGGTGATCTACACCAATTAGACATAGGTATGTGAATATCCATAAAATGCACTTCTTGTGTGATCCCAGTTTTTATGTAATTTTAGATAACAAACTTATTGACTGCATGTATATTCTTGGCAAAGTGGTAAATCTCAATCAGAAAATAACAAGGTTTTGTAAAGAATATATTCTGATGTCCTTTCCAGCAGGCAAGCTTCTCTCTGTCTTAGTGACACCAACTTCATTAAACTTTATTTTGTATTTTGTTTTGTTTTTTTTCTTCAAGAAACAATGACATGGTCAAAACCAGCTGTCAATAATGCCATTCCTCTTCCCAGAAGTCTTCACTCGGCAACCACCATTGGCAAGAGGTTTGTAATGCATCAAAATGAATTGTTTATTTTATTGTGAATTTCACCTTTTTTTAACACGACATGTGCACCTTGTGGTGATGGTACCAATTGTAAATCTCCAAATATGAAGAAAACTAATTTGCTTTGGTTACTGGGTACATGTAGATGAGCTTTTTTTCTGATGGGCTTTTTTTACTGTACCAGCAAACCTGAAGTCAAATTCAACTTTTTTTGTTGTGGAAAAATTATCTGAATAGTACTTATTTGCTTTTTTTGTATTGCATTTGAAGAGGCATTTTTGCAAGCTTCAGTTAACTCTTTACACCCCAGCATAAATGTGAATCTTCTCCTCACCGCTCTTCATACATTTCCTATGGTGTTGACGGGTAGATTTTGTGTAACAGTCAATAGCTTCTTTAGTTGGTGATCATTTCCTTTATTCTCATGACCTTAATGTGTGATTCAGGAATGGTATTGTGAGGAGAAATTAAATGTTAATCACTGTAAGGGGTTAAAGGGTTAAATGACAAGTGTTTACAGTATCTGGTTATCCAGTTTCCTTTGACCAATGATTAAAATTAACTTCTTGAAGTAAGAGTGGTTCAGAATAAATTGCTGTTATTTGATTTCTTAAATTTTATATTTCAGTTAGTGTGCATATCAAGTCTGCTAAAGTTTATGCAGAACATTTTAAGCAGAAGAACTCGATAATGCACTAAGGTGATGTGAGAAATGAATGTTGTGCTTATTTTAATTGCAGAATGTTTGTGTTCGGAGGCTGGGTTCCTCTTGTCATGGATGAAGTGAAAGGACGACAAGATGAGAAAGAATGGAAGTGCACTAATTCCCTTGCTTGCTTAAATTTAGGTTGGATGATATATCTTTAACATTTGTACAGCATATTTGTAAATTTTTGGATCTTTTTGGCCCTAACTTAGTGGGGATATACAGGGGTACTATGTTTCACAGCCAATCAAGGAAATGTATTTTGTACCATATGGTACAAATGAACTCATCATTTGGCTGGATTGGTGTCCAAGATGCTAATTGATGTTGCGTTACCTTTTTGTCATGCACAAAGGATCATACTGTCAGGCTGGGAAGAAATGACTTAAGGGGTCAGACAGGGTGGAAATGAAGTCATCAAAAGGGAAGTTGTATGCATGATTAGTTTATTTGCACCATGTGGTACAAAATACTCCTCTCAGATTGTCTGTGTTCCATAGTGCCCCTGTATACTACTTTTGTATTGATTAGTATGGAGTGTGTTCATGAATTTTCCTTACCAGAGTAATTCTGCTGTAAGCTAAATGAAATTTTACTTCAAAATACCACTTGTTGAAAACCTTGTTTCCTTAACAAGAGTGATTCCTTTACTGGTACATGCAAGGTTCATTTTCAGTGGAAAAAATGATTTACATATGTTGACTATTTATTGATTTCTAGAAACAATGGCTTGGGAGAATGTAGTAATGGATCAGTATGATGATTCTATACCAAGAGCAAGGGCAGGACACTGCAGTGTAGCTGTGAGTGTTGGCTTTTTGTGTTGGTCATGTAACATGAAACAGTGAGAAGTACAGTGGTCAAATGAAAAGCAAGCTGGACTCTTTATTAAAGGGGCTGGGTTCGAACCCTGACTGAGTCATTTTATTGTGTGTTAGGGCAAAGCACTTAACTAGATCACAGTATGGCTCACCACCCAGGAGTAAAATTGATTACCAACAAACTGAAAGGGAAACATGACAAAATTCTGGGAGGAGGAAACTAGCAATGGTGTAGCTTATGATCCAAGAGAAGCAGCCATTCTCATACCCTTTTGATTTATGAACTCTAAGATGAGCTCAAGTTGCTGTCTGAATCCTACCTGTATGCACACTTTACATTTGACATTAGGATCAATTGAGTAAAAATCACCACAAAGCAGGACTCCAGATGGCCAATAGTATTTCAGTTTATGTAACAACATGCTGAGGACAATTTTTATTTTCTAAACAATTGGCCAAGTGCAAATCTTGACAACAACAAAAAGTCCCAGATAATAAAACAGCTAGTTTACGTCACATTGTTTTACACTTTAGAGATAAGAAATAAGTTTACCTAATAAGTAATTAGAAATATAGATTCTCATTTTGGTGCTGTATATGATTTGATCAGATCAATACCAGGTTGTACTTATGGAGTGGTCGAGATGGATACAGAAAGGCATGGAACAATCAGGTTTGCTTGTGCTTCTATTCAGTTGAATTATGTTCAGTAGTTGGTTTGAATTAAGAAGTAACAGTTGATTGTTTCATCTGATCATGTGGGTGAGAGTGTGGATGGTGCTGTTATCCCTTTAACTCCCATGGCTGACCAAGACAGAATTTCTCCTTACAATTCCTTACAATATCAAGCAGACAAGTGATGAGAATAAAGAAAAATATCAATTAGGGGACTATATGTTGATCCAATACCAAATTCTCAAAACTAACATCACAAGAACTGTATGGCAGACAGTCAAGAGAATTATTGGTAACCGTGACTGACGTTTTGACAAAGAAAGAGGACATCTTCATCATTATCAAGCAAGGAATTGTTTGTCAGTCAAGCTTTAGTAGTCTGGATTGTTAAACTGAGAACTAACAAGAGTGAGGTGTTAGGAGTGAGGGGTTGAAGCATAGTCTCCCCATAGCAGGGCGTGAAATTAATTTTTTTTTCTGATAGCCACTTGGCTCCTAAATTTTTCAAAGTGATAGCCAATTAAAAAAAAAGTTGGTCGCCATTTTTTAAGAAAAACAAAACCTTTTTTAACGCTGTCAGCATACTGGACAGACCCTCCAATATTAAGTTAGGAAAGAGATAGTTAACGTGCTATGGAGTGGACACTAAGATGGATGATATTCAATGTTCAAACTCACCTAAATCCAAGATGGCGTCTAGTTATTGATCAATAATTATGACGGTGCTGCGTTTTGGAAACAAACTTAACGAGGAAGTTTGCCATAGATTTATCTTTGGAAATCTTTTTAATTCCCTATATCTCTAGGTAAGGTTATGATGAAGCATTCTAGTTGCCAATTTGGCGACTAATTTTCAGGATTTGGTTGCCAAAGTGAAAAATTTAGTCGCATTGGCACCTGTATTAGGCGCAATTTCACGCCCTGCATAGTTGACTAGATTGTCTCAGTCATCTCCATCACATATGGAAACAGTGCTATAACAATAACAGTACCATTATGCACCTCATAAAATCTTTTAACTTTTTTTGTTTTGTCAAAGGTGTGCTGCAAAGATTTATGGTATCTTGAAACAGGTGATTTTCCATTTCTGATTAGTTGTGAAAATGTATTACGATTGTACAAGTCTAGCTAAGAATGCACCTGCCTTTTTTTTAAATTCCAGAAAAACCACCAGCTCCAAGTCGCGTTCAATTGGTCCGAGCAAGCACCACCACCTTGGAAGTTTGTTGGGGATCTGTACCAACTGGTAAGGTTTACAGTTTTAATTGTTTTAGTGGTACACTGAAATGTGATTGGGCATTATGACATCGCAACAGTCCATGGAAGCAGCAATGAAGGGGTTATCAAAGGATAAGTGATTCATAAGTAAGTGATGCAGGAAGGTAGTACTTGTCAAATCCCGTAAACATGATTCGGTAAACCTTGGTCAGAGTATTTTCTAAAATCATTGGCAGAAATAAGTGAGATTCTAACATCAACATTGAGACAACTTGTAATTTTGTGGAATAAAAGGAGAAAGTCCAGGGATATTTAGACATATCTACTATTGGTTGCTTTTTTGAATGCAGTGTAACATCGTCCTTGCATAATTTACTATACACAGCTTACACTCCCTGGTCTCTTTGCAGCTGATGCCTATTTACTGCAGTTACAGAAATATGAGCTTCCTCCAACGCCACCAGCAACACCAGTCAAAGCACAGTTTACACCAAGTGGGTCTGCAAGTCCTGCACTGATGAAAACACCTGTGCCAGGAGGAAGCCCTTCCACAGGAGGTGTGAAGGCTTCTCCACCAAATGGAAAGATCACATCTTCGCCTTCTGTCACACCTACACCAGGTAACCAAGGTGGAACCCCTAAAGTTGTTATGCAGTCGCCATCACAGCCTCCTAAAGCACAAGTACCGTCAGCTGCACCAACTGGGAAGCCTGTGAATGTTGCACAGAAGATGAGCCCAGCTGCCAGTCCTGTGGCAAGTGTAATGAAGGCCTCTGTAGCTCTGTCTACAGGCTCTTCAACAGGACAATCTGGAGCGGCAGCCACCACAGTGGCATCTAGTACCAAGACAACCATTCAGGGTCAGGCTGCCAATCAAGCAGTGTCAGCCTCCACATTAACCAATCAGGGGCTGACGTTGTTAAGAGCCCCAGTTCAGCTTCCGCCTGGTGTCCAAGCCACGATGATCACAAATGCTCAGGGTATCCCTGTGATGCGTCTTCAAGGAGCAGGAATTCAAGGAACGGCACCAGTCACATTGGTCACTTCTCAAGTGGGTGCAACACAGTTACAGGGTGCAACCATTGTCCGAATGGCCACACCTATTGGTGGTGCTGCGACTGCCGGAACAACAACAGGAACAGTGTTGAGACTGCCAGTGCAAAGTGGAGGAACCAGTGTACAAGGAACTGCAGTGCTCAAGATTCCAGTCACCTCGTCAATACAGATGCCTGGTGCTGCTGGGCTGACCTTCACTGCTATGGCGGGAGCCACTGGACAAGCTGCTGTAATCAAACAGCAGCTTCCTGTTACAGTTCCTACAAACCTGCCCCCGGGGACACAACTAAAGGTTGGTCCTCAGGGCCAGCTCACTGCTGTCGGACCGGGTGGTATTCCCGTGCAGCTCACCTTGCAAAATGTGAAGGGACAGGTACAACAAGGAGCTACGCTAACAACTCCAACAGTTCTCCAAATAGCAGGGGGGTCATCAGTGAAGGTTACAAACACATCTCAACAGGTGTCCTCTTCGGTATCACCTCAGAAAGTCACATCATTGACACAGAGTTCAACTGCAGTTGGGAGGCTTCCAATAACTACCACCACTGTGATTTCTGGTGCTAAACCAGTGGTGACTGCTACAGCCAGTACCACGCCCTCAGCAGCTGTGCCTGAAAAGATTGTGGCTGTCAGTAAGGTGACTTCATCCCCGGTAGTGTCGTCCACCTCTGGACCTACCTCTGCTCAAGTCTCCAAAGGTCTTGAACAAAAAACGTTGCCAACAGCTTCCGCCACGCAGAGTCTCCCGATGGTTAATTTACCAGTCAGCAAACAAGTTACCCCTGTAACAACACAGGCTGTAAAAGCAACGGTGGTGGCGAGTAGCAGTGCTTCGGGAATAGTAACAACAGCCGTGTCAGCAGCAACCACTTCATCCTCGCCAATCCAAGCTCAAGCGTTAACGATGGTGACATCTCGTGGTACCGTACCAACTACTGTAGTCACATCAAGTGTGCAGCCCTTGAAGACAGCAGTATCAGTCAGTACTCCCGCAACCAAACCTGCAACCCCAACGGCAATAGCAACCGTTTCAACACCAACTCCAGTCCTCTCTACCGTCAGTGTGGCAAGAGTGACATCTGCTCAATCCACTGCGCCTCCTGCTTCGACACAGTTGTCTAGAGCGGCAAGCGTGTCAACGGTGGGAATGGTCAAGTCAACAGCCGGCATTGTGAAAGCAACCACAGCGACTGGGGCGCCGGTGGTTTCAGCAGTGTCGACCCCTCTTGTGTCTACATCAGTGTCTAGTAGCACTCCTGTGGCAGTTGTGTCTCCACTGGTGTCATCTACAAGACCTGCTGCGACTGTCGCAGCGGCCTCGCCCGCCAAAATGACGACAACATCGCCTGCAACAGCCAGCACCAAACCGTCTCAAGTCAGCTCTGCTTTTACACCGACTGTAAATGGTGGAGTCAGTGCGACGACTAATCGATCAATAACACCCACCGCAATAACAAAGGTAGTATTACCTTAACGTTCTGCAGTGGGCAAAAGTTTATAATAATATCTATTTTTATTGTTATTACCTTACGTGGTTTCACCATTTGACAACGTTTTCATTCGCTAGGAATGAAGTTTCTCTTTTACCAAGGGTGAAAATGCGCGGGGGGAAAACGATACATAGAACTTTCTACCTTGTAGTTAAAAATCGATCGTGTTTCCTCTGACTAACGAGTAAAACATCTATGAATGCTTGAAAGAACAGTTGTGTTTACTCACCTGATCAGGTACAAAGGCCAGCCAAGCAAACGTATACAAGGAAATTGCAGCCTTCAAATCAGTGGTATGATGTGGGAATTGTCAAGGGAATCTCCATGATGGTCACACATTACTATTTATCCAATGACAGCACAAGTAACGAGGTACGTGTTGATACAAGTCAGGAATGTCTGCCATGCAATTCTTATGATGTTACTATAGAGAATTTGGTGTTGAGATCAATTAACGATTCCCTACTTGATATGTTTCTGTATCTTCGTCACTTGCCTGCGTTATATTGTATCTATATTGTAAGGGGAAATTCCGTCTCGGTCACTCATGGGAGCTAATCACAGTTTAAATCGAGGTAAGAGCAAGTGTCATTGTGCCAGTTGAGGTCGTCGCTTTTCAACTGATACTAAAAGAAAACGCTTCCACGGGCCGCTGAGTTTTTGGTTTCCTCATGCAGCTCGAAGAAAAAAACATTTTCCTACAAATTTTTGTTGTTTTTCCAAGGGCAAAGCATTCTTTGACGTAGTTTGTCTTTTTTCAGGGAAACCTTGACGTCGAAAGCAGCTCCGAACAAAGTTTAAAGAAACAGGAACTTCTACCAGGGACTGCTTATAAATTCCGTGTGGCGGCCATCAATGCATGTGGTAGAGGGCCATTTAGTGATGTGTCGGCTTTTAAAACGTGTCTGCCAGGTAAAAGATGCTTATATGTGAATTTTAAACGAAATTTGTGTTTAGCTTCTGTAGGGCCTCTTGCTGGTTAGAGAAACGCGGAGAAAATATCCTCACCAAAAAAATTATCCCGCTGGAATGGGACGTTGCCAGCATTATGGCGATGCCCAACTTTCTACGAACTCTCAACTTTTATTCTGTTATTGCCTGGGGATCAGATTTATTTATGACTGTCTCTCATGTTTGTGTTTCACTTTTTGTCAAAGCCTGCCTTATGAAAGATATCGCGTGTTTTCGACACTGATATAAGTTACCAGCTACCAACTCAAATTATAGCACATTGTTGTCGCTGAAGGTGTGTCAAGTCAGTTATGTCCCACCTTACGTTACACAATGTTTTGTTTTGTCACGATACATCATTCTATTTCCAGTCCTGCCCGACAGGCGATGCCATGTTTTGTCACGCCACTCACGTCATGCCATATCAATTCATGTTTTGTCACCCGGGTCACATCATATCACAGCTCTTTCTTGTTTTTCAAACTCAAACTATTTTTTATTGTTTGGTAGGTTTTCCTGGAGCCCCGTCTGCTATTAAAATCAGCAAGGTTTGCACTAACGTCGTTTGAAATCAGTTTACTCCTCGTTCACATCAATTTGAAATTAACTTTCTCTCACTTTCTCCACAGAATGCAGAGGGTGCCCATCTATCGTGGGAAGCTCCGTCCAACACGGCGGGTAACGTGAGCGAATACTCCGTGTATCTGGCCATACGCAGTCAGTCAGCCAATCAGTCAGATGAGAAGCCAGTGGCCGGTTTGACTTCCTCCACAAGCTCCACCCCAGTCCAGCTCGCCTTTGTACGCGTTTATTGTGGTGCCCAGCCCACTTGCACAGTCAGCACAGCCACTCTTCAAAGCGCGCATATCGACTTCTCCACCAAGCCCGCTATTATCTTTAGAATTGCTGCTAAGAATGATAAAGGGTGAGGAGATACATCTGCTATTACTTTTGCATTTTGATTCATAGCTTACTCGTTTGAAGAAAGATAAGGAAATATTCAAACTAAAGTGTTATTCACATATTACTATTTTTCTTCATTTTTCTTCCAGTTATGGTCCGGCGACTCAAGTAAGGTGGCTTCAAGGTGAGAAATTTCTCCATCCCTGCGTAGGTCAATGATAAGCGTAAATTTTCCAAGATCTTCAGTTGCAATCTGTGTAAATTTTCTCTAGGCTTGATTCATCCTGGTCCCTTTGCGCATTATTGTTACATCATTTGAATGGGTCCACCCTACCAAACGATTATTGAAAGCTCTTACGTTACTTAGATCTAAAGGCAATTGGTTGTCACACTAAGCAGATTGACTCAATGTAATTTGACGTATCTGCCCTAATTTAAAGTACTCCGAGGGTTTTATTTTAATTATCACCTCTGTCGAAGTGAAGTTAAATAATGCTGCGTCGACTTAATTCTGCCAGATGTGAGAGACTTAAAAGATGGCCAACTAGCTGTCAAGACAACAACCAAACGGTCTGCCGCAGATAGGTGAGTAGTTCATGGCATTGAAATGAAATTCTATTTAACTGAGTGTATTTTAATTGAGTGTCGTAAAGCTAAAACCATAACAATCACAACGGCCAATCGGAAAAAGATTTAACATCGCAATGAGCTCATGAGGACTGGGACTCAATTAAAAGACAGGAAAAAGAGCCTGAAGCGCGGACAAACGGAAATGAGTTTGGTTTTGCATCTGATTGGTTGAATGGGCTCCGCAAGTTTTCTGGACCAATCACATAACATTGTAAAGATAAACCAGTACAATCCTGGTTCACCTTTGACGTGAATTTAAAATTTCTTTTTGATACGACACACGCCTAAACTGCTTGTACATCTTCTTATTTCGAAAGAACTCTTGAATATTTCCAGGTCCTTTTCTTGGACACTAGAAGTATCAGTATTGTCAGTGCCTAGCCATTTTGTGTTTTTGGAACTTTTTAATTTCAAGATATAACCCCGAAGACTGCCTTGGAATGAAAATTCTCAGTTTGAAAACTTTCTTCTTTTTTGTCATCCACTTTCTTGAAAATGCATCATTAACATAAGGATAAGTAAGTTTTTGATCAGTTCTAACACGTATATGTACCACTGTCTGAAGACACAACGTTTATTTTTATTTTCCAGTAGCCGCTCAGCAGATTCGTCCAAGAGGGCCAAGAAAGATAAAGAGAAAAAGGAAGAAAAGGTGAAAAAAGAGAAAGATACTGAAAAGGACAAAGAAGCATCGCAAGAAGACGCTGCCACCGCAAAAGAAACAAAAGAATCTTAATATAAATACCTTGCACAGACAGAGAAACAGTTATTTTATTCAGAAAGCTCTTCTTAAAAGTGAACTTTCTCGGTAGTAATACAGGCGGGCCATTTTTTACTTTGGTGAGTGTTTTTTCGTTTTCAATCCATTCGCTCCAGACTTTAAAGAAGACAATTACTGGCTTACGCAATTTTCTGCGGGTTCAATCAAGCCAGTAAAGATGGCTAAGCGCGGGTCACGCGTGATTGGAAAAGAACCCCTCCTCTCCCTGCACGATTTCAGCCTCAGAATTTGCCCCGCTCTTGCCATCATTCGCCCGCAAAACTCTGGAAAAATACTCTCGTTCTGCCGATTTGAAATTACGGACCTTTTTGGCGGAAGGAGAGGGGAGTAGCACTAAGTTTAATGTGAAAGTGAAAAAATACTTAATTGTGTTGGCTGAAATATAAAAGTGCAATGAGACAGGTAAATTCTGCGGCTTGGTGGCGAATAAGTTTTCAGGATATCTTTATCACGGTGTGATAATTTGTTTAGTCTGTTTTGCTATCGAGAACGTACAGTTTATTTTATCGTACAGAGAAATTCGTATATTATCGTCTTATGTTGCCCTTAATTGGGCTTCGTCACGAGAATGTCGGATAAATTAGGGAAACCTTCCGTCAGTTTGTTTGTTTGTTTCTTTTTCCACAATCTAATTGAGTGGCTCGGTTACTTAGTTTTTGCCTAAGTACGTCTGAGCCAGCGATTGTCAGAGGCTTGACTTGTTTTCTTTTGGTACTCCATGAACTCGGGTTCCCGAAATATGAAGCTTAGGCAAATATGACGGTGACACCTGACAATTGACGTGTTTTTTTTTTGTCTAGTTTTTTTCCTCTTGAATGCGTAAACATGTATAATGTGCCTTACGTGTCACGTTTATCCATCAGGTTTGAGCGCCGTCACTAGCCAACCCCAGGTCACCGCAAAACGTTTCGAAGACGAGTTGAAACGACACTTCCCTTCGTTTCAAATTGAGATTCGTTGAAAAAATTTTTGTCCCTGCGACCATAAATTTTGTCCCCTAAGCAAGTCGCATGAATTTAAACTGATCTTCGCAAAGATCAATTGAGGTAGTGCGACCTGTTGTAGAAGCAGCACACATTGAGCTGTTTTGCAGAAGAGACCTGTAGAGGTTGCTCTTAGTCTGTGATGGAAGAACTCCAGTTCTGTAGAAAACCATTTACGTTGCTATGCTGGTCGTTAATCTCGAAAAGCTCATTTGTTTTCTGCTGATGACGTTTAAGCCATTTGTTTTACCACTTTATTGTCGCCGTGGTGTTGCTTAAGATCCCTATTAGAACAATTTTCAGTTAGTTTTTTCCGATTACATTCGTTGTTTTTCTCTAAGCTCTCTGGAAATTCTCTCCACCCTCTCTCGGTCGACCAGATGCGAAGCTGAGGCCAATCGCGATTTTGTCCGTTTAGTTTTCTTACGTTTAAGGCAAAGTGCTTGTTTTTACTTTAAGTTTTCTTTGGCTCCCTTTGATATTTTTTTTTTTTATGATTAAATCACCTGATTACTTTGGCCTTGGTTCACGACACTTTATTGAAATGCACAGGGATTCTTAGATCTTAAAGCTAATCACGAGCTTTCAATGTCGAGCGATTGGTGACTGGCTTCACACCTCGCATCGTGGTGTTTTCGTATTGTGATATGAACACACAACTCATAGTCTTAAAATCTCGAGGGATTTCCCAAGGGATAGTCTCAAGTATCCCTAGGATTCCCGGAGGGATCTCGTGGAGCGAAAGAAAATAATCCTACCAGTGTTTAATTCTATTTTTTGGTTAAATTATAGTTTTTTCTTTTCATTTGGGAAATCCTGGGGAAATATGGGCTTGCATTCTTGTTGTACAGTGTGTTACCCTATTCAAATGGTTTCTCAACCTTTTACCTCCTTGGATCTGAGTCGCAATTATCCCTTCCCTACACATTTCCTTGTCAATAAGCTAGGAGAATTTGGTGCTCTATTACGGTAGCGCCCTAAGCCCTCAGTTCGTGTATTCTCTTTATCTTTTTTCCTGGTAACGTATTGATATTGTAAGGAGAAGTGACTTCTCAATCACTTCCGGGAGGTAATCGGTTAAAGCCACCAGAGACTCGGAAGTTTAACTGTAAATATGTATAACCTGAGGATCTTACAGTATCATGGCAGCAAAAAAAAAACATTTTAACAATGATTCCTTGGCTGTCGGTGTACCCATAATTTATTATAATGTAGTTATTTAACCCGATGACGGATTTAACGGTGTAGTATTTTAGTGCTGTACGTGTTCTGTGAATACATTTAATTTGATAAGAGAGAACAGTTCAGTTTGTACACTAGAAGTGTGAGAGGAGGCTGTAAAGGACTTTTTAGTCTGCGGATTTTGTAAGAAGAAAAGTAGTAAATGTAAATGTATTTACCTATCTCAGAGACAATCGCTTCAGATTAAAAGGCGAAACTTCCGGACAAAGTATCTTGGTTGCTTTTGGGTGATTTTTTTTTTCGTGCAGATTTGTTTAGCATCTCGTGTAGGACGCGGTCGTTTAGGAATTTATTAAGGTTCATGTTAGTGTTCGTGGTGTAATTTGTAATCCTTGAGCTTCGATTCTCGAATGCAGCGCATTGGATGTACAACACCTGAGAGAAATTATTACCCCTTTCCATTTGATTAGTTGAAAACTGAGAAAATATTAGTGAATCAAGCCCACTATCGGTTGTGGGAAAGAGATTGCTTTCACAATGAGTTCTCCAATGCATTGTACATTATGCAGATCTGCAATTACTGCCTTTTTCCTAGAGATGCCTTTTTTTCCGTGCACCGACAGCTGAAAGAGTGGTCAAGGTGGGCGAGAAAGTTACTTATTGTTATTCCTTCCCCACCCAGTACCAAAATAAAACGCGTTTAGAGACTTGTTTGTAACAGATCTTATTGCGCGCGTCAATCAATTATGACGAAAATTCACCAAGGCTTAGACCAGACGACAACAACCGAGTATGATGACTGCTGTGATGGCGGTGCGAGCTGGAAACGTCTCAAATAAGGCGTTAGTAAAAAAGGTGATTGGATTCATCGTCGTTGTGGTTGTTTGTGTGGCAGTTGTTGTTGTAGTTTTAAAAGTCCTCAAAACGTTTGGGGACTCCTCTAGCGACTCCAAAAAGGAAAAAACATTTAATGAAGGTACGTTAGATAATTGAAATTTTATTTTGAAGTTACAGTACTCGAACATTTTGCTTCCTTTCGTAGTTTAAGCAACGGCATCATTTAACATAATGCTTCAAGTTGTTCCTGAAAGATGTCGTTGTTCTGAAGACAATTACCCAAGGAATTAGCACTTTTTTCATTTCAGTTGTTTCTTGTGGCAATTATTTCCGGAAAGAAACTGATTTTCCACAAGTTCGCAGCCTTTGTTTCGTGTGTTACGTCACAACTGTGGCGCGCGCGTTCTTGCTTTCTGAAAGTGGCCAAATAAATTAAAAGTCATTGTGTACCAGGCTTAGTGATCTAAATATCGTCCTAACCCTGAAAAAGATGCGTACGATTTTTGCCAATCCCCCATTAAAAGGCGATGGTTGCAACTGGATCTATTGCATTTTAGTGCTCGTGGTCTATCTACATCAGACTTTTGGAGCCTCTCTGGGGGTCTGAGATAGGGGTTTATGCTACACATTTCTCGTCTAGCTCTCCAAGAAGTCATTTGGGTCATCCGGGAGGCCTAATTTTTACTAATTCCCTCAATAAAGCCATTCTCATGCAGTTTTCTTTATATTTTAGTTCGCGTACTGACGAACCAGGGTGGTGTGGGTAATTTTGGACCATCTATACTCAAGTACGAAGGCGTACTGAAAAACGAGGTCAAAGTCTCCCCCCAGCATCCGGGCATTCAACTTTGGACGATTCCAGTTTCCGGTCTCTGGTCTATCGAAGCTAGAGGAGCCTCCGGGGCTGACGGGATATTAGCCGGAAGTTCAAGTAACCGTAAGCGAGGAGGATACGGAGCTATTGTGAAAGGAAAATTCCTTCTACACAAGGGAAGAATCCTAAAGATTTTGGTCGGCAATGAGGGCTTCCGTGACTTTCTAGACCCTCACCGTCCTGGGGGAGGAGGGGGTGGTACCTTTGTTGTGTACGAGGATGGTAAACCGCTGCTTGTAGCTGGTGGTGGGGGTGGTGGTGGAATACCAAAAGCTTGTAAGTACGCATGCACCTATTATACAATGATTTTGTGCCGATTGTCACAAAGCTACAAAAACATGAGGGCCAGAACAAGCCTTAGTCGTTCTCACACAATCAAGCTCCAAATAATCTAATAGTTAGCTATCAAAATATGTATGGTTAGAGAGGTTGTTGGTAGGCTCCAATCCATCACGTTCTTATTGGTCCGAGGGAATGAGGAGAGCAGTTTGTCTCAACGAAGCTTTACTTCCCCAATAAGATCGAAAATTTACTGATAAACATGATTTTGGAACTAGCCCACAATTCGTAATCCTCTTACTTCGATGTACGCAGAAGGCGCTTAGATTAAATGATTTCTTAAAGTGTTGTGCAAATTTTCTCTTGGAGGCGTTTTTAGTGCCCTTCAGGATAAAAGCTGTTCTGAAGTCACTTACGAATTCGCTACAGAAAGAAGCCATGCACAACATTTTTGTGTATTAGGCTGCAATATACCTCCTGACCCCTGGATATTCCTTCTGCTCAATCACAAGTGACTACTTGGGCAGCTAAACTTTAAGATTAATCTTGTAATATTCTCATAGCTCGACAGACAGATGGGAAAGGTGGCAGGTCCAATGATGAGCCATCCTCCAGTGTCAGCGGCAGCGAGGGTAAAGGCGGGAAACTTTTAGACTACAGCGACAGCAGCGAGACGGTCATCAATGAATCCACTGGGCATCACAAAGTTATTGCAGGTGCAGGAGGAGGTATGTACAGCGCTGGAGTCGGCTTCAAAGAAGGCTGGGGTGGAGAAAGCTTCGTTGGTGGAGGAAATGGTGGAGAGGCAAACACGGTATATGATAAGTTTCCCCATGGGAAGAGGGGTCGTGGAGGTTTTGGTGGGGGAGGGGCTGCCGGTTTGTTGCCCGGAGGTGGGGGAGGGTATTCGGGGGGTGGTGTCAAAGGGTGTTGGTTGCAGTGTGATGGTAAGAATGGTGGCACGGCGGAAGGAGGAAGTTCGTACAACGCCGGGATTTCACCTTCTAATAAGGCAAACAAGAACAAGGGTCCTGGCAGAGTTTATATCAGGCTCATGTCTGAGGAAGTTGAGGAAGATTAAGCAGATAAAAATATTCCTTTTCCCTTTCCTGGTTTGATCTATAATATACGATCAGACTGCTAATGCGATCATTTCACTCTTTGAATTTCCATCTACTTCTTGAACGTGTTGCAGCAAAGTGAAATATCATTGGTTTGTCAATCACGTTCAAGACAATCGACGAATGAGGAATAAATTATTTTTTTGTATTACTTTAGCGCAAGGATCCATTACACCTACTACCATACCATATTCCCGCCATATTCTAGCCTAACTTCCACAGTTCTGTCTGAAAACAATACCGGAACAAAGGGAGGGAGAGATCTCGTTGCGTGACGAAATAAAGAGCCTGCGCAGAATGCTCCTTCTACATCAATATCCACACAAGCTGCGCATGCGCGTTTGGGAGACCGCAACTTCCTAACTTTCTGCGGACGGTCTCCCGAACTAGTTGATAAGAGAAATTTTTCAATTATTTTTCAACTGTTTTCCTTCAGTCTCTACGTTTTTTAGTTCATCCATGTTCTCCAGTCCTGTGGCTCGTCTCAATGCTGAGGTTAATCAAGTATTCCGCTTCCTTCTTCCTGTTCAAGGCTGTCATAAAACCAGCTGTCCGGTGTGATAGGGTGATTCAGAGCCAGTAGAAAGCGTCTTGTAATTTTCCAAAATTATTTATTTACCGCTGTTGCTGAAACTGAAAGCTAATTGATACGGGAAGACGAGTTTCTTAAGAGAGCATGACCTAGAATGAAAAAATAATCCTTTTTCGGATATCAAGGCCACTAAAATCGTCTTTTTTGTTCACAAGGGTCATTTAAAACACTTTCCTATGTAGTGAGTTATAAATTGTCCTAGTAAGTAAAAAATTTATCTTTCTTCTTCATTATTCCCAAAGTTATTCATTTTAACCGCTGCTGCTAATATCGAACGCTAATTGAAACGGGAAGATGAGGTCATCAAGAGAGAGCATTGCGTAATGTTTTAAAACATTCCTTTTTCGGTGGTCCAGGGATTCCAAATGCAGCTCAGGTGGAATTATGAGTAACTAACTTCCGCACACAGCCAGGTACCCGGATTTGATTAGATTCTTCTCGACTTTTTCTCCTTTTTCTCGTCCAGAAGAAAGCCTTATAGTACTTTCAGACGTAAATTTAGTTTCAATTACATTTGAACTTTATTTTTCTTCTTTTCACTGTTATTAATATCCTTCTTCGAGAATACACACCTGTACAATTTTTTTAATACCAAGTCCCGTGGGGCGGGGTTCCTTAGTCTATCAACGTCACGGATAACTGGTCACATGTCTGCACATGCGTAATCAGATTCGAACCTTGAAGCAGAGAAATTGTAGCCGATCCTGCGAGTTGTTTATATCTACGGAATAAGGCATTCCTTGAAACCGACACGAGAATTCAGGAAGAAGGTATCATCCATCTTAAGCAATGGGGCTTAAGCCTCTTGAGTTCGAAGATTGCATTTTGGATAGTCCGTATTTCCGTGAGAACATCCACGAACATGAACGGGAGCTGGAAAGAACGAACGAGGCCATCAAGGGCCTCATCAAAGAATGTAAGACTTTGTTGAAGGCGATCGAAAGTAAGTGACTGTTCCGTGTACATCTAGAGCTTAAATACACAGTAAAATAGCTGTCGTCCCTGCTTGGAAGTTGCTTAATATTTTTATCTATCAGTGTCTATATTTTAAAGGGACAGCGTTACGAACGCGAGCGAGTTAGCTCTTGTTTTTCCAAGCCTCAGGCGACCTTGACTTCCTGCAAAGAGCTTTTGTCTAATGTTTCAAGCTGTCTGTAGCGCTTCTGGTCACTCGATCATCCTTCTGTACATCTGAACGAATGAATGAATTTTCCCGATCAATCAGTTGAATTTACTGGGAATTTTTACAAGAATTTTCGTGCAACGATCACCTTCCTATCTCCCAAGACATCAATAAATCAATTGACGACCAAAATATAATCTTTTGAATTTTCATGCCAGCAATTTCCTAGAATTGAATTATTTGTCGTCGTTCGGTAGAAATTCGATTTTTGTGTGAAATCGACAGGTTATAACATGAGGGTTTTTAAAAGGCAACACACACATTTTATTTGAAGCCTCAAATCTGTTTCTGCACGAGGCAAAACGTATATGGGCTCCAGAAATTTGACGTAACCTAAAATATTTGTATGTTTAAATGGAGATTACACCATTCAATATTGAAATTTTGAAATGATCTTTAAGTGGGAAATCTCTCACAAGGATGGTAAACGTTCCTCGATATCGCATAATTGGCTCTGTAAACATTTTCCGGCTGAAACTGCCAAGAACGTTATTTGACAGGAACAACCTCTTGCCGGTCCTGGAAGTTTATGACTCTCTGTTATTACTGTGTAGTTTTCCCTTTGTCTTGTCTGAATGCTGTGTACATTTATTTTGTCTTTTCTTAAACTTAAACACAAATTCCTTCATCTTCCTCTAAAGCTGCCAAAGTATACCCTATGGCAGGATGAGTGTGATGTTTGTGTACTTGATTTCCATTGTTTGCCAAATTAGTTGTGAATAATTTGAAATATTTACTGAATTCTTGTCAATTTTAGGCTTCGTGATCAGCAAATTACTGACATGATTCAGTCACTTTTATTTCAGAAACACATTTGCTAATTTTGTTGGGTAATCAATGACCTTTTTTAATGTAGCTAGCTTAATATTTTTTCCTTGACCAAATGGTCTATTTTTGTATTTTTCATACTAATTAAAATTTTTTTGAAATTTTATTTGTGTTCCTCCAAACCAGACTCTTTTGCCATCAGGAAGTTAAGGTCTCTTGCCTCGTTATTTTTTGCCACTCAGCAGTATGCTTTGACATGAGTCTTTCACTTCGGAGCAGACCTCACTTTAGATTGTTTTCAAGGCATTGTCGAATTTTGAAAGTATTTTTTTTGCCTTCATTTAATTCTATTGACATGCAAAAATACCTTTAGTGGTCTTAGCATTATTTCAAAACCTAAACAATGCAATCCTTCTTTTCCTTGAAGTTTTTTTTTCTTTTGTGGTTGTCCAGAGGTCCAACATCATAGATGGTCATTTGATATGCTTTCTGTGAAGTGGAAATTTCTTGTAGAGGAAAAAAAATTGCAATACTACTATGGAGGCACTCTAAAGAGCTTTGCTTGCCATTTTTAATTAGTTGACAGAAGTTAGGGTCATGACACTAGTCAAGAGGATTTTAAATAGTCCCTTTGTTCACTCAAGGAGCAATAAGATAAATTTGAAACCTTCTGAAACAGGGAATTATGCAATTACGAATCACAAACTTTATTGACCAAAAAGTTCTCTCATCTACCAAAAAAAAGAAAACCCCAGACCCAATTCAAGAGGGTGTACAAGATGCAAATAGTCTCAATCTGTTCCCGCTGACAAATTTCAGAAGTAAAGAGGCTGAGTCCATATCCGTCTGGTTTGTAGATAGCTATATGGCTTAGGCAAGGAAATGTATCCTCTTTGTGTACAAACATCAATTCATCTCTTGTCTAGATTTATCCAAAGCACAACGTAGCTTTGCAAATGTGCTGAATGGCTTTGGGTTGGAATGCATTGGTGAAGTAGAGACTGACGATGAGATGATTATTGGTGAGTTGAATCTTTAATAAGGTCAATCAGTCACTTATCTCAGTTAATCACACATTCCAGTCTGGGCAATAATTATTGCAGTTTCTCTTGCTTTGACACCAGTTTCCTGACAAATTTAGTAATCCTTTTTTAAAAAAGTGAATTCTGTGATATACAATTTGGTCCCAATAGTATGATGCATTTGTTTTAAATTTGCTGCAGTTTTGTTCAAAAACTGTTTTTTTTTTCCATTATAGCTGATTCGCTGAAGGAATTTGCTAGCATGATCACTAGTGTTGAAGATGAACGAGAAAGAATGGTAATACTGTTTTCTTCTCGTATGACTATCAATATCATAATAGTAATGATCATCATCATCTTAAATCAGGAATCTCAGGCCACAAAAAGTGGTATTTCTCAAGTCTTTGTTCACTTCCTTCATATTTCCCATCTTTCCCATCTTTGTGGGTCTTCTTTCTGGGTTAAGTTATTCAACATTCATGGTTATATAGTGAGCACTTTTTCCTTCTAGTTAAACCATGCAAATTCACAGCTGATAGTACCGCTAGAGAAATTCAGGAGAGAGCAGATTGGAGGAGCAAAGGTATATTGTTGATACTTTGTTTCTTGTTTCACATTATTATTTGAAGTGAATCATGAGGTTTGACAAAAGAATGACTGGTAATGTGGAATTCTGCTTTACAACTTCCCCTTAAAAATGGCTTGTTGCCATTAAATTTACCAGAGGTAGCTTTTGGAATTTTATAAGGAAATTAAATTTTGAGCACCCTCTTAAGTTTGAGATTCAGGATATTAAGCAGACACTATGTTAAACCTTTACACCCTGACATCAGTATCTATATTCTCCATACTGTACTCTATACATTTTCTTTGGTTACTGACAAGAAGAATTCATTTAACAATCAGAGCTCATTAGGTTGGTGATAATTTGTTAAATGCTCATTATCTTAAATGAATGATTCAACACTATTACTGTAAGGAGAAATTAGATGCTGGTCACTCAGGGCTTAAAGTTAAGCCCATGTGTAATAGTGTTTATCCCTTCTCTTTTTTACTTTGTTTGAGGTATTTTATTTCATAAATTTATTCTTTACATCACATGAAAAAACTAACATTTTTCTGTAGGAGGAAAAAAAGAAATTTGACAAGCAGACAGAAAAATATTGTTTAACAGTCCAGAACTACTTGAATCTTTCTTACAAGAAGAAAGAAACCATTCTGAGTGAGGTTTGTAGTATTTAGATAATTTTACTAGTAGTAAATGTTGGGATACACAACAGCCTGGTGTTTTTGTGTGTTTAAGAGGTGGGGGTCACTCTCTTATGATTTTAACCCTTTCTCTTCCAAGATCTCTTTAGTAATTCTCCTTACTATCTGCAATACAATTCTTATGATTTTAGTTTGGAGATTTACTTATCAGATCAATGAATACACCCTCAATTCAAAATATTTCTTGAGTGTCATCACTTTTCTGCTTGATTTTGTATAGATATTGTAAGGAGAATTTTTTCTTGTTCGCTTTTTGGAATTTAAGGGTTGAACAAGATTCTTCAGTCTCACTTTGACTCTCTCCACCCAGGAGTACAAATAGGTATCAGTGAAGCCTAGTAAATGCTGGTGGGGGTGGGGAAGGGGCAGTGGTAACATGTGATGGACTGCCAGCCTACATAGCGGTGAGGCAATGCCCCTAGCAGCTTCATTCTATCAAGACTGGAATAAGCTTTAGCACCTGAGCTCAAGAGCTGACTTTCTCTTTTTACCTTTCAAGTAAGGGGATCTAGAGTGGGGACATAAGTTTGTGAAATTTTTTTTTTGGCACGAGTGCACAAGATTCTTGACTTAGTTATTTTTATGGTAGCATTTAATCATGGATATTTGATGTATTTTTCTTCTTTCTTCTTTTTTTTGCATAGGCGGATCAACTACTTCAATCAGAGAGGCGTCTTTTCCATCAGTCTGCCCTTGATTATGTTGTCAAACTTCAAGAGGTCAATGAGAAGAAGAAGTTTGAATTTGTTGAAACTGTAAGTATAAACAGAAATGTTACAGTGGTAAGAGCCCTTATCCTCGGTACGGGGGCTGTGCATTTTCTAGATTTTGGGTGTAAGAAAATTCTGGTAAGTAGGAACCAAAAAAAATGGGAAGGTTTGGGGTTAAAAAGTTGTTACTTCATCACCAAAATGGACTAAGCTGGGGTAGATAATTGGTCACAGAATAGGGTATGATGGGGTAGGGGTTCTGAGAGGCATGCTGCACACACCCAAACAAATAACACAAGTACCCCCATTGTTGGCTTCAAAGCTTAAATATTCCAAGCAATTGAGAGAAACTTTGTTCCAATTTAATTTTCATTCAAGATAAAGCCTATGTGGCTTTTGTAAAGCTCATTCTCTCTTTATCAGTTTATGAGTTAAAGTTAACTCATACCGTAATTTCCGGCTGTTTACCCGCAGGTAATCTGTTGATTTTGCATTAAACGCATGCCACTGCTGGTAATGGGAGGTGCGGGTTATGTGACAATTTAAAAATCTACCAGTAGTTGAATTGAAAAAAATTATCACCAACATGCGTTTCCACCTCTCAAATGAATTTTATTGTATTAAGAGTGCCGCAAAGCCGTACGAAAACATGATGCCAACTCAAGTTTATTTCACGCATAATTAGTTGCATGACGAACAAATTGCTATTGGCACGCATGAAAACAAAACCTTGATGGTGACAAAAATAATCCAAAGATATCCAGCACATCAGTTACAAATTTCCATTTAACACTAGCTTGAGCTAAAGAGAATTTTCCCGTTTTAAGGGACTTGTTAGGCCCAATAGAATTGGAGATATCGATTTTTTCAGAAATCGCAGACAGTACTTTATAATTCAAGTTTTAACACTCACCCAGCTTTCTTTCAACAAATCAACATGGCGCTGAACGATCGTTCGCACAAAATGTGGCCACAAATTCGCATTCTGTCATGTATGAAACATTGAGATTTGGATGTGGGCCACTTGTGTTTTTACTGTATAATTTTATCAATAAAGTACATGCTAATATTGACACAGAATTGTGCACGCGTCTAAATTTCTTTGACCTTTAAACTCAACAAGGACACTTTTACGTTTTTGAAAGTTAGATCAGACAGCTTCTGAAATGTATCACCTTTAATGTCACGTTTTTGCCACCAAAAAGTTGAATAACATAACATGCGGGTTATCCATCAGTGCGGGTAATCTGTTGACTTTTTTTTTCACTGTATGCAATGATCAGCCAGTGCGGGTAATCGGCCGTGCTGGTAAAAAAATGGAAATTATGGTAACTATAATAAGAAAGGAAGCCCAGAGAACAAGAGCAGTGTTTTGTTGTAGCTATAGCTGTGTAGTGAAATAAACAAATTCTTCCAGAGTACCATTATTTTTTACTGTAATTAGATTAAGTATGTGTCATTCTAGGAAGATTTCTCTACCAGATTGCAGGAGTTTTAAGTGTTTCCAGGGGAGCATGCCCCTGGACCCCCCCAGAGGTTCAGGCCTTTGGCCCTCAATTTCACAGTGTACCTGCCTACTCACAAGGCAGTGCCCTTCTACTTCAAAAGTAAATGAAAACCCTGGGTAGTAGGCTCTGAATTTAAAACAGGATTTATGTACATATACAATGTATATGCATGTCTCTTCTGTATAACAATATGGCAATCCTCATCAGTTTTATTGTTCTTTTCCAGATTTTATCTTTTATGTATGGGCACCAAACATTTTTTCACAGCGGTAAGGTGTTCTTTACAAAGTAGTTGTAAGTTGTGGTTTAAAATTTCTTTGTAACCCAGAGATTCCAACCCCATGTGATGGAAAATAGGGAGTAATTATTAGTGCCAAAGGCGCGAGCTTCTAGGGGGGTCAGGGGGCATGCCCCCGGGAAATTTTGCAAATTTAGGTTCTCTCAAGTGCCATTTCCTGAATTTTGACATCATTCTGGCCTGAGTTATAACATACCATAATGCTCTTCGCGAAGAAAGTAAGTATAATATGAGTGTTTCACAGTGACAGATCGCCAAAAATTCTAAAGATTAGCAATTTTCCCCTAGTTTTCAGAATTTTATGATAAATCGGGAGAATTTGGTAAAAATCGGGAGAGCGGGAGGCAAGACATCAAATCGGGAGACTCCCGATCAAATCGGGAGGGTTGGAATCTCTGGTAACCTTACATCTCATTCTTGTTATGGAAGCCTGGCCTTTTTTAATGAACTTTTTCCTTTTCTAAACATTGTCAACAGGGCATGAAGTATTTAAAGACTACGTTGAGTACATGAAAGATCTTCAACTGAAACTTCAAAATGTAAGTTTGAATCATAACAGTTACAACATTTTATTGACTATGTTATGTACATGAAAGATCTTCAGCTGAAACTTCAAAATGTAAGTTTAAATCATGACTGTAGCAACAGATTGGTTGTTTAAATACACATAGTAGTTTCTCAAAGGAATACATTTTACTTTATTACGTTGAAAATAAAGTTTTTCTTGCTGCATTTGTTGGTGAAATAGTGTTTTTTTCACTTAAAAGTAAAATTCATGTCTTTGTGCCACCTTGTAATATTGTCTATACACGCTTCTTAGACTCGAGAACGATTTGACACGGCCAAAGAAGAAGCTGAAAGCCTCATGAGTCGAGTACAAATGGTGAGTGTTAATCTTTAGACACCCGAGATCAGATGGCTAATTCTCCCCCTAGCTGCTACTCATTTCCTTTAAAATTTGGAGTTTGATTAAGACAAAAACTCTTACCTGATGAGTCTGAGTATTCTCATTACCAGTTGGCTGGATAATGTAAGGATACATATAGAGAGAAGTTACATGCTAATCACTTGTTGGAGTGGTAGGATTAAATTGAGGCTTCCTTTTCTACTGCTGTCGTGCCCTGAGAAGTACATGTAGGTGTTGTGTCAACTAATTTCTCTAACTGTTCTTGACCAGTCCTTGTATCATTTTTCAATTGGTTTAAAAATTATTTGGATGTTTTTCCTTTTTCCAATACAGAAAGCTCAAAGTGGTGAGCTACAGTATCGTGGTGCACATACAAGGCAAGGATATCTGGCAGTGCAGAAGAAAGGTAACATTGATTGAAACAGTTTGAGTGAACTGTCAGATTAATGTGGAGTTTGTGCTTTTCATGTTAAGCTCATTTAGAACCTATTGGATTTTTCATTTTCAACCATTTTTTGGTTGATTTTACTTTGAAATTTTGGTTTGAAGGTGCCCTGCAAGATTCTGGCTTCTATGGTGGTTCTTATGACACTGTATAGCTTATGCTTGATTTTAAAGCAATAGCTTAATGGCAAAAATGAACCCTGATTTAAATCAAGCCTTTTGTGACATAATGAAAAATCTCACCTGCCCAGTTAATGCAAACCTCTCTTGTAAAAATTACTTTCTGCTTGATACACTTAATCCATGGACATTTTAGGAAGCCTTGGTACCAATACTTGGCACAAACATTACTGTATGTACACAAAGGAAAACAAGATTCTCACCATGATTCCATACACGCAGACTCAGGGACGACTGGTAGGTGTGAGCTGGTCTTCATCATGGAATGTAGCAGTAGGGTTTTAGTGGACAGGAGAGTATTCTCCAGGTCTGAATTATAACTAACTCAGACCATCAAACTTAAGCAAGGGTATTCTGGGTAGTTGTCAGATAATTCTTTGTTGTAGCCAGAGAATTCTAGGCAGTAGCCAGATACTTCTGGGTATTAATCAGAAATTCTGAACAGTAGGTAAAGAATTCTACCCAGGTACCAGTGATTTCAAGGTAGCAGCCAGAGTATTCTAGGTATCTTCTAGGTATCTAGCCAGAGAATTCTTTGCAATGGCCTGAACATTCTGGATAGCAGCTAGAGAATTCATGGTAGCAGTCAGAGAATTTTTGGCAGTGGCTTGAGAATTCTGGATGGTAGACAGAGGATTCTCTAATCTCTGATTATTATGGATCATTCTGTGTAAAAACTTTGATCTGTGATGCGATATGGTCATATGGGTTTATGGCACTCTTCATTGTTGCTTTGCAGCCAACAAACACTTAATTAAGTTCATATTTTTTGCACTACTAAAAAGTAATCAAGTCACATTATTTATCTTTTAGAATGCATCAACTGACACAATGGTTGTAACATCTTGCATCAGGTAGGACAAATATACTAATAGATGCAACGAGGTTTAGATTTATCACCCTTCTTTGACTACATCTCCATGGCAAGAACCATTTCATTCATATTGATTTTTGTTTGATGTTGTAGAAGAATGACAGATTCTATAGACAGAAGATTTACATTTGAAATTACTGCTGAGGAAAGGTAACAATGGTGTAAACATCTCATCCAGTTCACTGCTTACCTCAGTCACCTGTTGACATGTTGTATAGTTGTTTTCAGTATTGACAAGAGAAATAGTGTAGTTCCACTGAATTATTTTGCTTTTGAAGAGGTAAAAAATTGTTTCATCATTCATTTATTCTATTTTTTTATTATTTTGGAACAGATCACAACCTATCTTATTGCAAGCACAGGGTGAGGATGATAGAAAGTCTTGGTTGGAAGCCATGGATGGCAAAGAACCTGTAAGTTTATCTTGTCAGAAATATTAAGATTGAAATAAGTAAATCTTTAAGGCTTTTTTCTTGACTTACATAAATCTTTCTCCTTTGAGCAATCTTCTTTTCTCTTTTCAGTTGTATGAGGATTTCAATAACCTACCCAAGCTTAAAGATGGTAAGTTTTTTAACCTTAGCATAGTCCCATTCCTACAGTGATTGCAATGTTCCTTGCCCTTTGCTAATCAGTTTTTCAACAGATCCACCATAATTTTACTTGATGCCAGAGTTTAAAGAGATTTTATGTCAATATCTTTCAGAGGAAACACGTGATCTTGAACTCACTTTTATCACCAAGTGTATTTCGGCAGTGGAAAAACGAGGTTTGTTCCAACAAAGATATCAATTAAACACAACTCAGATTATCTTGGCAGACACTGTCTTTAGTGAACATGTTTACTCACAGTTGCCCTCATTGTGAGTCACAAGCCCCTTTCAACTTCCATGGTGCAAACTCTTTGTAAACACATTTTCAGAATTGGACATTCCAGTAAGCAGGTGGGGCCAGTATTATGGGTGATGATTTATATGTTTCCTTTGCCTTAAAACTTTAAAGGGGAACATGAATGAAATCCCAGTAATTGTATTTTTATCAACCAACATCACATTACTGTACTTCACAGCTTTTTGTTCTAAGTTCAGTGTAAACTTGCTTTGTTGTCAGACATTTACAATACACATCCAGTTACATTTCAAATCACCTCTTATCCAAGCAGGCTCCCTTACTAGGTCAGCTATGGCCTACACCGCTCACAGCAGCCTTTAAGAATTGTAAACTCCCATAAGCAGCCAGTTCCACAGTGGATGTTGTCTGCCTATGAGAGATCTGTTACAATGATGATACTCTTTTCCTCTTGTATTTTTATTGACAATAGAAGATTTCATATTTCTCATCTCAATGCTTATTCCAGGTATAACAGACCAAGGTCTTTACAGAATAGTTGGTGTGGGTTCCAAGGTCCAGAATCTTTTGTTACAATGTATTGAAAGGAAGAAGGCAAAGACAGTTGACCTTGCAGACCAGGAATGTGAATGGGAAGTCAAAACCATTACCAGTGCACTTAAACAGTACTTGAGGTAAGGTTATGGCAGGATTTTAAGGTAGTGCACTTATGCCAATCTGTGAAGTTATGTTCTGATGTGTGTGCATTTTATGTTGTCTTTTAAGAGTAAATTGAAGTATTATGTTTTGTAGAAACTATCAGTGTCATTTAAACATTTTGTTGCTATTAGGAACATGCCAGAGCCTTTGTTTACATACAACTACCATGAACAATTCCTGGAAGCTGTTAGTAAGTACAGAATACTGTTTCTAAACTTATTTGATGAATTAATAACAAGTGTGGGAAGCAGTAAATCTAAAAGTTAACTTTTGTATTGTATTTTACAATTGATATTATTTTTAATTAATAACAGTTTTCAGTTGAGTATCTACTACAGCTTATGCTTTCCTCTCTCTGCTCTCCTATTGGTCTTAAAAAACCAACACCACTCTCTAAACAGTGAGATGCAATAATGAATCAGAGTCAAATTAGTCACCAGTGTTTTCTCTGTGGTTGAGATCGGTTTACTGTTTTCACTCAAATTCTCAGGTTTAACTTTAACTCTCTCTCCTATGAGTGACCAAGACAGCATTTCTCCTCACAATATCAATACAATATCAAATAGACAAGTGATGAGAATGAAGAAAAATATCAGTCAGGGGATTATAAGTTGATTCAATACATAATTCTCCAAACTCACATCACAAGAACTGTAGGGCAGACAGTAAGGAGAATCACTAGTGAGATCTTGGGAGTTAAACGGTTAATCTGATTGATCTTCGTGGTACTTTTTTTGGTCTTATAATAATCTGTATGAATGTGCTCTTTAGAAACTTGTGATTTTTAGTTAGTGTGATGATTTTTTGTTTTTTGTAGAAAAAGATACATTCGAGAAACGAGTTGAGGCCTTGAAGTGCCTTGTGGCTGAATTACCTGAAGAAAACAGGAAGTTAATAAGAATGATTATGAAACATTTAACACAGTAAGAGGCACATTTATTTTCTTTTAAAAGTAGCAATAATGGTGTCTCAGCTAATTCTTTATACAATTTTCATCGCATCTTTTGTTAATTTGCATGCATTACTCGATGGGTGATTCTTTCTTAAAATTGATTAGAATAAGCTCAAAAAGAGCCAAGGTGTTTTTGAGAAGTCCACACCCACATGATACTAATGAATGTACAGTTTTGCCCGTCTATACCCCTGTTTGTGATTTTCATATTTGAGTTCGCCATGGTTATTTTAATCGCTGTTTGGTAATTTTCCGGCATTCTTGCACTATGCATAGCAGTACTTCATTCAGTGTGTTTTTCCTGGCAGGGTTGCGGCTCATTCCAATAGGAACTTAATGGCGGCAAGCAACCTTGGAGTTGTGTTTGGTCCAACATTGATGAAATCTAGAGAGGAATCTATGGCTGCGATCATGAATTTGAAATACCAGAGTATTGTTATTGAGCTGCTTATCAAAGAGTTTAACACAGTGAGTAGCCAACAGTTGAGTTTTGTTCTTGAATTTTTGCATAGTATTGAAATTTGCCAAAATCTTTCCAGACTTAGAAAAGTGAACGATTAAGTCTCAAGAAAAAAAAACGTGGGAGGAAATCTGGAATTTTTGCAAAGCTGCATCATTTAAAACATTTTTGGGTGGGGTATTTGGGAAGAAGATGAATTTAGAATTGTCTCAGTCAGAATGTCACCAAGATGAAAAATTTGAACCTTCTTTTGTTGAGTATTACTTGGCTTTTCTCGCAGATTTTTGGGCCTGATCCTAGTCCGGATTCAGGGGAAGATTCTACTGATTCCTCTCCAATTGTAGTAGAGAACAACACAGGGAATCCCTTCTTAGAAGAAAAAGAGAATGATTCTACGCACTTCTACGAAAAGCCCAAACCTCTCCCTAAGAAGAGAAACAGTGATGATACTGGTGCTAAAATAAATGAAGCCAAACCTGTTACACCCTCCAAGCCTCTACCCCTCCCCACTAAAGGCTACCGTGCCCCACCCCCTCCGAACAAACCAGCTCCGTATGCGAGGCCGAAAGTCAGAGCCATTGTTGCGACAGGTGAGTTACCCTTAGACTCTAAAATTGAATAGGTCACGTTATTTAAAGTCTCCTCCGCAGCTGTTCGTTAGGATGTCACGCAACGCACTGTTGCGTCATGGACGGCTGTGAAGGAGGCTGCATCATCGATTGCAGTTTTCGGTTTTTGGGCGTTTTGGGCGCATTTCTTTACCAAGGCGACATTTAGAGCCAGGAAAGGACGAAGGTCAATATCTAACCATCTTGATCGTATCAGCGTGGTTAGTAAATAATTTCGAAGATGCCAAAAATATTACACGGTAGAATTTCGTTTATGCGGGAACGAATTGAGAAATCCTGAGCGAAAGAGTAGACCTATCTTTCTCGCCAGGGTCGCTAAAAAGTCATAGAACGAGGTACGCTTTTGCACGGGCAGTTAATACAAAGTTCCTGTTTTATGTCAGATTCCGAGGACGATCTTAGCAGTTTGTCTGAGTCTTCAAGTGCAAATTCAACCCCTCAGAGTGAAGGGAAAGGGCCGTTATCTCCAAGGGATTTTTGGAGAGAAAAAACTGGTAAGTCTACAGTGCTGAAAAGGGGAATGCCTTCGAAGGGTAAGCATTTGCCATGCAGAAGCTTTCAAGTGAGAATTTTGTTCCTATTCTGTTGACACAGACGACCGTTTACTTCACAAGCAAAGCTTCTTGACGCCCAAGCCTTTGGCTCTGTATAATTCTATTTTTCTGTTTTAATTTAGCAAATAAACCAGTACCTCCTCCGAAGAAACCTGAAGTAGTGTAAGTACAACTCGCTTTGAGGAGAAGAATCTTTTTGTATGCTTTGTTCTTTGATTTGTTTGTGATTAGAACAGGGGTTCTTTTGCTGCTAAACCAGACATGCTGATCTTCAGCCAATTGCAGCACTACTTTCGCCGTTTTTGAAAGCTGTGTAGAACACTGTGCCTTTGTTTGGCCTCCTGGGCATTTTTTCGTCTAGCATTTTGTGGCTGTTCGGCCGATTAATGACTTGGGGGCTGTACTCCGGATTGAAATGTCTTAGATCAGTACCAAGCCAGGCTTCCGTGTTGTGTTTTTTGATAGGAAAAGTGTACTCACTCGGTAGGAAACTATATACAAGCCAAATTTCAGGGAAACGACACTCTAAGGAGTTTAATGCGATGGTTTAGCATGCCATTTATGTGATGTAGCAACACTCCTGGATGCTGACTTCTGGGATGTCTTTCCCAGTCCCTCTCGTTATTTTGTGTGCTGCTCCATCTTAAATCCTTTGACTCTTGGAATTGATCAGTTTGAAATTTTCCCGGCACTGTTGGGCAGACAGATAATTAGAGTTAAAAAGAAGCGTACCGGCCAGGAGATATTGTTTTGATATGAAAGCAAATTCTCAGGAATGATGCGAGAGGCCTATATGATAATCACTGCAGAAAATTAATTGTTAGATCTTGTGAGCGATAGGGCTTACTTATGTTGAGAAGTATGAACGGGACCTTGAGACCACGGTGAAACCTACCACGACGCGAGTGGATTTTGTTATAAAAAGTGGATCGTAAACTTCTCATAGTAATGATGAAGACACAAGAATATCCCCTGTGATAGTTATACATCGACTGATCCCAGCAGCAGTACTTCTCATAGTAATGATGAAGACACAAGAATGTCCCCTGTGATAGTTATACATCGACTGATCCCAGCAGGATCACAAGTTTTCTTTTTCTTTCACTTACTGTTAGATTTACTTTTACTTTTACTCTTTAACGCTTTAACTAAGCTGCATGCCGTTCGTAGTGTTATATTTTGTGTTTGCTTTAAGCTTTTATTTTGCTTGTTTATTTTAGCGCTGAGTTTAAGAGCAGATTTGAAGGCTCTTCAAGACCTTTTTCTATGGTTGATCCCATGTAAGTCTTGTTTCTCCCCTTTTCATGTTTTTCCAAAATATTGTTTTTGTCTCCAGAGCAGACAGATTGGTTTGTTTTACTGATCTTTCTAGGCGGTACTGGTACCTTTCACCTTTGACCAGAAAAAAAGGAGAACAGAAAGGAAAGAGAAATTTGGCGAATTTATAAAAACTCGGCAAACCACGAACTAAATGTTCAGATACGAAGCTGGAAAACTGGGTCTAGTATCTTAAATCTAGGCTAGCTGGTAATCTTCCCAGGAGAAATAAACGTCAGAATTTCTATCTCTTCTCTTTGAACTGTGATGTCCCCACATTCCGTCCCGTTATATTTAAGATTATGTTGATAGAAATGTATGATAGAAAGCTGTGCGAAACCTTCATCTGTTTTCCAGTGAGCCTCGATGTGATGTACAAGACCCAGTTTCCCTAGTTCGTGTTCAAACGTTTTGAAGATGGTTCATATAAAACGTCAATGAAACTTAAGAGAAGTTCCATTGATTTTCACCAAATTTAGTAAAAAATTGGCGCTAGTTTTCACCACCTGTATTTGTCTAACCGCAAGAGTTATGAAATCATTTTTTCTCGTGATACATCGTTACGTTCTCTCCTAGTCTTGAAGAGCAGTCCATTTTGTAACACCTTGCACCAGTTATGTTGTTTTTGCTGCTGTATTTTGTTCCTTTTTTGTTCACACGCCGCATGTTGTGTCAGTCACATATGTTTGCATCACAGTCAGCCGTCACGAATCTTTGTCATAAGGGCTGAATGCGAAAGGGTAGGAACTGAACGAAGTTTGTTTGTGTGTGTGTATGTTGTGTGGGGAGGGGGGGAATGCCCTCTGTGAATTCTAAACCCCTACCTTCTAAATATCGCATTTGACTTGAGAGATACTCCTTTTATATAGCTGGCGTAGGAAATTGATAGGGACAAAGGAAAGACAAACGAGTTATTTCATTTGAGACGAATCAACTGTTACTCAATATTCGGGTAATTTGGTATTATCAACTGAGTTGATAAAGTAGATTGTCCACCGTAAAGAGTTTCACAGCTTACGTTTCGAGCGTTACCCCTTTATCAGAGCGAAAAACGAAGTGCTAACGCCCGAAACGTCAGCTTTGAAACTCTTTACGGTGGCCAGTTTACGTTATCAACTCAGTTGATAATACTAAATTACCCTGTTATACTCTCCCACCGACGCAGCACCACAGTTTCTTTAGAAACTTTATCCCCTGTTCCTCAATATTCCCTTGATCAACCTATTGGACCTGCCTGAGAATCCTTTTCGATGTATCGATGTCCGTGTGCAATTACTCACTTTTTGTCTTCAGAAACGATAAGGCAAAGGAGAAGTCTTCTGGTATTCGCCGTGCTAGCAGTCAAGGGGGAAGCCTTAACAGGGGAGTGCAGTCTTGGGGGACGGGGCCTCCCCCTCTCCCTAAGGAACCCCCGCCGGTAGATGAACCGAAGCCATCTCCAGCTACCAAAACACCGAGGTGAGACCGCCAGTATTTAGTTGAAATGGAAAATCGTTAATTTTCAGAAGATATGATTTTTTAACTTTTCGGTTATAACCCCGTAATTTCTTAATACTCTAGGAAAGTCAGGACGATATATCCCTGTGTAGCGGAGAACAGTTCGGAGCTTTCGTTTGATGCTGGCACAGTAATTTCAAATGGTAAGTAAAGTTACTTAATTTTTTTCCAAAATTGGACCTCAAAACAACCTGCATTTTTGGTAGTCCTATCTACGCGTTGCTGATTTCGCTCGAAAGCTTGATTTAGACCGCCATAAAATTCCAAATAAAGACTGGGCTCCTGCAATGTTGGGGTTTCTCCAGGGCTTAAGTCACCGGGGGCGGGGCGGGGCTTGTAATTGGTGAGGCTAATAAGTGATATTAATAACGTTTCGAGTCACACAAAAGGTATATTTTGCAGTTTATTACAAGAAATATGAAACCTCTAACGTTAACTGTAGAGGGAAAGGTCAGACTTCTCTGGTGTAGTTCAAAAGGGTTATCACTACAAGGTTTTCCTGTAACAATTTCTATGTGCTCTGTGTCCTGATTGTTGGGCGAATAATGTTTCATTTATCGAACAACTTCTTTTTTTCTTTTTTTTTTTTTGGGGGGGGGGGGGGTGTTTGATCATATGGATGGGGTCTTTGACTGGGTTGTCATGGTAATTTTTCTTCATAACTCCTTAATTTTATTTTTCAATAGTGCGCCCTTCGAAAGAACCTGGCTGGCTTGAAGGTACGCTGAACGGAAGGACAGGTCTTGTTCCTGAGAATTACGTTGAAACTATCACGTAGCTGACTTTTTAATATATCAGAGATTTAGGATATTTTAATTGGTGATCAAGGAGATAGAATTCCTTCCAAAAAGACGTATTCGGCATTAAACGTAGTTATCAATACCTACTTTAATGCTAACTGAAACGGAAAAGATATTCGTTAAAATGATGTAGCTATGAAGAGTTCTAAGACATGATGAGTAGCCAGACAGACGGAAGGCGTGGAAAATGTTTCGTCAGTTTTCAACACGGAAGTGGATATGCATGTGTTTGTAGCATGAAGAGGCACGTGTGCAGCGTGATCTGATCGGTTATGGAGTTGATCCCACGTGAACGAAGTAAGATCGGTGAAATCTTCCTTTCTCCTAAGGAGAAACAAACGAGCTTAGAAACCATGAGAATTGTTATTGCTGGAACGCCGAAATCGCGATGGGTTAATTTTTTAGACAGCGTATTGTTAAGAAAACGATTTGCGAATCTTCTCACTATTTTTATTAATCATTTTTTACGTTGCTGGTCAACTGATTTTTTGTTTAAGTCTAGACAAGGTTATCGACAGTAAGAATGCTGAAACTCCCGCAGTGTTCTGTAGGACTCAGGAACATCTGCCTTAATTTTCATCATGAAAGTGAAGACATTATTCACACGTGCAGGGTTATTCGCTGTGGATTGGTTGTCAATCATGTCTCTCTCTCTCTCTCTCTCCCCTTTATTTTTTTTTGTAAATTGAATTTTAATGAAAAATGATTTTTAAAACAAATAGATGTAAGCTTAGGGGTGTTGCAATGTGTCTGAATTTTCTGCTAGAAGAGAGGTTTTTTTTCTAATTTTAATATTTGCTGAATTGAGGTGAAATTTTATGCAATCGGTTACAGCCTCTGAATTTAACATGCTGTTCTCGCACTTTTCTATAGTTTCTGTTCTTGACGACGATATGGCGTGATTTTTAAGTAAAAAACTTCATCCTTCTATCCGTCACGTGATTATTCGTTACGTGACATTGATACATCGTGTGCCACCCCTAGCAAGTCTAGTCTTTTAGAACGCAGTTGCTCTAAGCTTAGGATTAGGATTGAATTATGATAAACAAGACCTTAAGGATTTTGAAAGTCTTGGAAAATGTTTCAATTTTATTTTTACTCTATTTGTCTGATTGAAATCAAATTTGCAAATCCACCTTTGAATTTGTGTTCGTTATTTTTCTGATTATAACGGGGAGCTGGCTTCTTCAAGTAATCAGTGGAGAGTTCCTTGCGTGACACTCTTGGTGTTACTTCAATAAAGTCACGTAATAGGTCAAAGGTTATGGTTGGTAGTCGCTGGTTCCTTGACTTTGTAGGACTGTTCGAAAATGTGTGAATAATTCAAGCTTAATTTGGCAAAAAAATCAGTCAATTCATGGACCATATTTGGCCAGATGTGATTAGGTCATTAAATAATAATACTACATTATTAGACTACCTAAGCTCGCTAGCCCTGCTGAGAATCAAACTTGACTTGTGCAATAATTAAGCGCTTCTGATTATATCGCGAATATGTAAGAAAAAGAAAGAAATATATTAAAAATCTCTTTTACTGTATCTCTTGTCCATGTCTCGTAACGAAGTGGACTCGGTCAATAAGGAAGAGGGTTCGAGGGGCGGGGTTTCCCTTCTTCTCGATCTTTAAGCCCGTTACACGCGAAGGGGTTTGCTCTCGAGTTATGCCATGTCTGCCTGTGTAAGGACGATGTTATGGCCATAATCCATAGCAGGGAGTAGTATTTCCACTCGCAAAGTTCTTCAAGGTGCAAACTGATTGCACTTTTGAAAGCGGAATAAGGAAGCTTAAAAATGCTTTTAGTGTGTAGAGACACTTAAGAAGATATACCGGTGGGTGAGACGGAAAATCTATACCATTAGCCAATCAAGTTAGCCTGTGTTTTCATCATCACTTTTCGATCTTGCGAGAGAGGAAAACAGTTGGGGAAGTCGATGTTCGTTTCGCATCAGTGCAATCGTCTAGTGAATACCAATTATACTGGCAAAAAATCGCAGAATAGGGGAGTTTCGGAGTATGGCACGGGAGAATGCGAGAGATAGAGAGGTTGGGAAGCGGATTCAAATGAAAAAATGTGAATAGTCGTGTTTCTTTGAAGAGACTGAAAGAAGAGGCAGATACGTTATTACTCGGGCAAATGGAAAGGTCAACTAGGCCCAGGCCTCGTCTTTCGAAGAAGGCGATCGCGAGGTTACCAATTGTTCTTGCTATTGCTCCAAGGGTTATCACTTAAAAATACGCTTGAAAATTCTAGCTACAATGCCCAACGATGAAAAGACCGTGCATTTCGTCCGTCACTGTCAATCTACATGGAACGAAGCACAGAATGTTTTCAAAATTCCTCGCAAAGATCTGCACTCTGAAGCTTACCTAGACTGTCCGTTGAGTGCTCTTGGTGAAGAACAAGTTACCACCTTACAGCCGAAAGTAAAGGCTTTGAACGCCGAGATCGCTATAACCTCTCCGTTTACGCGAGCCATTCAGACATGTCTTGGATCTTATGGTAGTCAGAATGTTGTTGTTTCGCATTGGTGCGGGGAAAGAGGAGAATCTTTATGCGACATAGGAAATACCAGAGACAGCCTCGAGAGAATGTATCCAACGCTGGATTTTAGCGAGCTGCCTCCGAACGTATGGTGGTACGTAGACGAAAATTTGAGAGATCAGCTGACAGATCAGAGAAAATGCTATGAGTGGCTGTTGAACAACGGAACCTTTCTAATGGGGGAAACAGATGACTATTTTCAGCAAAGACTGAAACGTTTTCATGCTTTCCTTCGAAGTCGCAATGAAACAAACATTTTGGTATTTTCACATAGCATGTTTCTGAGGAGCTTTCTTAACAAATATTACGAGCGGCCTGTAACACAATATCTTCCAAATGGTTCCATAACCACCTATAAATTATAGAAAAGTCAACGAAACGAAAGTACATTTTTTATTATAGCACCCCTCAATCGAATTATGAACTTCGTTTTATCCTTTCTAGGTATTTATTTCCTTCATGCTTATTTGTTGACAAAATTGACAGTATATAGTGAGAAGAACATTAGTGACGCACTCAGCTGCACCTTGTGTGCCCCTCTTCTGTTCTTAAATTTTGAATATCAACTATGATCTATCACTGAACTGACGCACAGCAGCCCAGTATCTATTTGTTGACCCTTGAACTCCTGAGATCTCTTTACTGTCTGCCAAAGGATTCTCACTATGTTAGTTTTGAGAATTTGGTATTGGATCAGTTAATAATCTGGTAATTGATATTTTTCTTTATTCTCATCACTTGTCTGCATGATATTGTATAGATATAGGTAAGGAGAAAGTCTGTCTTGGTCACTCACAGGAGTAAAAGGGTTGACAACACAACTGAGCTATCTCTCAAAAAGTGTGCAAATTCTAAAGAATTGCTTCGGTTTTGCTTTACACTTCTGGAATTGGTTTTTAAAACATAACCATCTATACTTAAATAACGAGAGACATTGTTTGTAGATTAAGCTTACTTTTAATCCCAAATATTCAATTACATTTTTTTAAATAATCAGTAGGGGTTTTTGGGGCTAGATTTCTGCCATTCTCTGAAGTCTGGTTTTCGAAAAAACCCAAGAAGCAACTTCTGGTGAGGGCAGGCTTATTTCCAGAACAAGAGCTTGTAATCAATCCAGGGGGTTGTAAATCTGTTAGTACACTTCAGCCTTGAGTTTTGTTTGACTTGATGCAATGACAGCGTGCCTAGCTTGTTGGACTCTGTAGTAAAACCTGGCAGCAATGTTTATAACCTTACCTCAAAACATTTAATCAACTTTTTACTTAGCCTGTTCCAGACCTTCATTCAACGGAGATAAGTGACTAAAGAGAGAAAAAAACTGGAGGGTAGTGAGTGGATGATTAAGGACTAAGAGGTATATTGCTTTTCACAGCAAGCTGGTTGGTTATCTTGTGGTATAATTTTAGTGGCAGCAGTAGTGTCATGTATTGAATTCTGGAAAAATGTTGGAAGATCCCTCGCTCTATTTTTTTCACCAGGCCCTTTCCAAAATTTTCACCATATTAATATGGAAAGAAAATATTGTTGATAGCACATGGTTCCCATAAAATATCAAATTAGTAAATTTAATCAATTTATCATTTGTCTGATACAAATTATATATTTTTTATTATTAAATTTCTCACATTGTATTTGGAGTTACCCACTTACCCCCTAATTCATGTCCTTTTCCATTTGTTTCACTCTATTTTCTCAAAAGGTTTCTACAGGGTCAGTACCTTAGGAAATGTATAAAGAACAGTATGAAGAATAAATCAAATCATCTGTGTTAATAAATTGCAAAATTAGTGCCATAGGCTAACAAAACAGGGTTTATTCAAGGGTGCAGCTTTGCAGGATTTCTACAAATTGGAAAAAAATGCTGCTTAAAATTTGTGCTTCTGGGTCAAATGGGGCAAAAAATAAAAATAAAAAATAGACCCAAGGATAAGTACCATTTTTTGGAAATAAAGTATTCAAAAACATCACTGACAACAACACTTATTTGACAGCAACTCTATACACCTACTTATAACTCTTAGGGCCTCTTAATGTCTTGACTGCCTTTTTTTTCTGTACTAATAAGTTCAACTACCTTTAAGGGAACCCCTTTCTTGAACCCTATTTCTTGAAATAGGCCCCCCCTAATATTCTGAAAGGGGCCCATTTGCCCCTCATTGGCCAATTTCTAGAATAAACTGTGCAAAATGAAGTGTCCTGTAACAAACTAGTAGGTAAGATACAGAAGAAGGACAAAAAAGAAAGGAAAACCTTTCTGACTCCTCTTGTTCACATTTCTAACCCCCTACCCCACTAAGAATGAAAAGACAGTGTAAAAGTTATACTATATTTTATTGATGACCAAATGTACTGGTCTCTATCACACTATATAGATGCCAAAGATGTGATCACATGATGTGTTCCAACTACCATGCTTTAGCAGTCAGAAATACTCTCTGAGGCCACTGCACTCATTTTATAAAAATATACCGGTTGAACAAGATGGAGGAAAAATGGAAAAACTTCCCATATCAAACCTATAATATTTAATGACGATTAACAATTCCATGATAAGATTAGTTGATAGATTTTGTCAGATTTAAGGCAATCATATTTTAGACTACTATTTACATAATTAATACTCCCATACAGAAATATCCTTATTTAAAAGCCAGGCTAGAAAGAACCACACTGTTCTAGTTTGTTAAAAACCCTTTCACTGACAAGGGTGACAAATAATTTAGTTCTCCTAAGGCAATGATTCATTTTCAAGCAATGAGAGAAGAGCAATGAGACTAAAGAGAAATATCAGCTAGAAGATACTACTTTATTTTACTAGAAATTCACACAACTAGAACGTATGGAAAAGAAAAGAAAAACAGAGAGTAAGGAAAATCCATGAGAGATATTGGGAGTGAAAAGATTGTAAAACACCATTCTCAAACAAACAAGTTTTTGCAATATCTACACCAAAAAAAAAAAGAGTGAGGTATAATAAATAAGCAAAACAATCAATATAAGGCAAAATGCTCCTGTAAGCTTGATAAAAAAAAAAAAAAAAAAACAGTCATACATTTCAGTTTGCTTGTAATCGTTTCAATTCATTTTTTCTGTGCATCGTATGGATGATAAAATCTTATCATTTTTTCCTTTTTCCGTTTGCAATATAGATTAAATTTCTCTCTCATATAGGAAATGTGTTAGTTCAGCTTCAACAGCAGCATTCAACATTTCAACAGTATAAATTAGCCACGGATAATAAACTACTTTTATGTTCAACTTTCTTTACAGACTAAAGCTTTTCCAAATTTTAGAAAGAGTTTGTGAACGCTAGAGCCACCTACGCGATTATTTATATGTATGACTAAACAAAGCAGATGATTTCCTTGGCTCGGCGCCGACCTCACATCTTGTTTTCACGTGTTTCTTCACAATGGCCATGATCGGCTGTTATCGATTCTTTGGTTTACATTTGCCTTACAATTGATAACGCTCTTCTGAAGTTTACACCACTACTGTCACAAGCTCTTGGATGGGGATCACGTGACGCGTGTGCGGTGCACTGACGTCACGTTTGCGATTCTCTGACGTTGTCTTCGTTTTCTGCAATAGGCGGCAAATGTTGAACTTGACTGACAGGATGGAGCCAAGACGTTTGCTGTGTCACGTGACTATAAGACAAAAGGAAATTAAGACAGAAAGTCAGTGACTGCCCTGAAAAAAAAAAAAAAAAAAAAAAAAAAAAAACCACCAAAGTTTTATGTATCTTAAGATCTATTCCAATCTTCTCAGTCTTTTAGTTATTTATTTCCATTTTTTTAAGCTTACCTCGCTAATAAAATCTAATAACCTGCCTCGATCGGAAGGTAAAGGGGATAAGTTTCTAAAGAAGCTGTGGTGCTGTGTCGTTGGGAGAGTATAACAGGGTAATTTGGTATTATCAACTGAATTGATAACGTAAATTGGCCACCGTTAACAGTTCAAAGCTGACGTTTCGAGCGTTAGCCCTTCGTCAGAACGAATTGTCTGACGAAGAGCTAACGCTACAATCGATCGGATGGTAGTTGTATGGGTTGCAAATAATAACTAACATTTTCGTAAAGTAGCAACATTGCTTTTGTTTTGACATTACGCTTTGACCTTCTTGTCTAGGCAGCTAACGTAAAACATGGACGCGGGGGATGAAATCGCTTTTAAACTATTATGCCTGTGCGAATCAGACCCTCACTGGACATTACCAAAGATATTGACATGACAGGGTTTAGATATAATTTTGTACCGATCTATCGATCAATGGCACTGAAAAGTTTTTTATTATCTCCGTCCGCTTGCCAGCGGAAAAGCTTGTTTTCTATCACTGAAGGTTATCTATGGGCATTAAATCTTGAAATTCTTACACGGCTTGCTTAGAAAACACACACAGTCTAGTCCGAAAATGAATTACAGTAAAACCGTTAAATGCTGTTGGTTGAGGCTAAAAAAGACAAGCTACTGTCTGTTTCATAACCACTTACTTGATATAATATCTGACACCATCTGTTGTGAAGGCCTCCTCCCATCCAAACGGAAGGGCTGTAAAAATAGATAAAAAACGCAAATTCAACCCTCAGAATAACTTGGAACTAATCCTCAGCTGAAATGGGAGCGGTTTGTGGTATGATGGTGTGTATAGGTCAAAATTGGGCCTTAAAATTATAACACTTCAGAAAATTTTATGACTCAGTAAAACAACTTTAAAAATGCAAGCATTCGTTTGGTGATGAATTCTGTCTGCTATCTAGCAAAAACCTTAAAAAAGTCACCTTTTCTTTCCTTAAACCAAACAAATCTCGACCCAAAGGGGATTGTTTAAAGAGAAAAGCAATGGCAAATAATGCGGATTAAAAATAAGCTGACAAGGCAGAAAGGGTAAACTTACGTTCTTCCTCTATAAGTGATTTGACTGACTTAACAGTTTCGCGAGCTTCTTTTGCCAGGGAAGCCGGCGTGTACTTGGAATGACGGGACATGTAAGATGGCGGTTTAGGATTGGCTCCGCCGTCACGACGAACTGACTCGCCTTTACCACGCTGTTGGAGCCTGGAAATAAGATACGCGGGGTCACATTCAGTGTCAAGTCAGTTGCGCCGTTCACAGAAACAGACAGAAGTCCTTTTATAGGCTAACCAGATGATCACACTTGAAGATTGAAACAATTCGATATAACCAGCTTATTAGCGCTTTCGCACGAATGTTTCTTAGAAAATATAACGCCTTGAGCAGCGCGTGTTGGCTAGAGGCGTACAAGAGGTCTAGTATCAGACCCCCATCAAACCTCTTCCTGACTCCAGTGACTCGTCGCAAATTTTTCCAGGGGTATAGAAACGCACGTTCGGCAGCGCAAGTA